GGTATATTTTAATGTTAACATATGTCCATTGTTACTATGTGTAGCAGTGGGTAAGATATACTGATAAAATTCCCACCACAGCTCAACTATTTCAACATTATTCCAACATTCCAACATTATTCCGTAGCGAAGCACCATTACTTGTATACTTCTATGGGCTGGATATTTAATCTATTCACATCCAACAACTAAATTTTGTATGACAACCAAACATAATATTTAGGAAAAATGCAACAGAAGTTCTTAAAAATGCAGCAAGTAAAACATCTTTACATCATCAAAGCATCAAAGCTTTTTTCTATTTGAATTACAGCCACTTCAGATGATAATGCATGCTAATTATTTTATAGAGCCTGACCAATATGAAAATGTTGTGACCGATACTGATTCTGACTTTAAAGAGTAAAAAATTCCAATAAAAAATTTACAGTTATATTTTGGATTTTAATACTCTTGGTTAAGCTGTGCTTTACTGATTAATATGATTATTAGTTTGCAGCAGCTGTCACTCTTCTCAAACTTTAAATTAAACCACAGAAACACACTGTTTCACAACTCGAAGGCCTCTTATTCTACGTTTTTTGTGTATTTCATTTTTCCCTTTTAAGACCACCTACTTATGTGGTGTATGTTGCCTAATGTACCAAAAACAAACTGTTTTCCAGCCCCTCTTTATCCCTTAGAACAAGGGTATCGAACTCCAGCCTTGAAGAGCCGGAGCCCAGAACAGTTTGATGATATTCCTACACAAACATACCTGAGTCAACTCAGCACCTGATTGCTAGATTTAGTGGGTGTGTTTAGAGCTGAGAAATCAACCAAACTGTGCTGGACACCTGTGCCTTAGAACAGTGGGCACATATTTCTGAAGACATTCGCTCTATCCTTCATCGACTCCTGCTGACCTATCTAATTATTCCCTTCAGAAGTCTTTGATCAGCCATATGAGGTGTGTTAGTTTTGAGCTTTAGGCAAAACATTCAGTAAAGTAGATCTCCAATAGGAGGTTGGGGTTCACTGCATTAGAATAAAACAGAAACAGACCATTTCTGTTACTGTCCCTTTAAGACTGATATACACCAATGAGTTCTGTTCTCAGTAGCTGTCCTTTATTGTCCCTTATACAAAAAGCAGTCTGGGCTGAAACACTCCTTATAACTTCAATATGAGCGGGCAGAGCTAAGCTGCTGTAGGCTGAATAGGCAAATAAATGTAAATGTTCTGGTTTTCGTGACATCACAAAAACAATGGTTTGGAAATAGGCTTAGTAGTTCATATTGTACTGTATGACTGGGGAAGGAATGGAACATGTAGAAACTGTAAATGTTTGCATAATACATCAAACTATTATTCAAAAAAAGCAATGGGCAAAAAAAGCACCGGGGTGGAGCTAGGCAGAATTCTTCACAGTCTCGTTTTTGCTAATTATCTCTTATTTTTCAAATTTTTCATTTCTTTTCATCCATGTTTTATTTTGGTGTTTCAACATTTTCCTCACACAATTTAAGGTTTGGATACAATTTACACGCATCCAACAATGGTGTATTGTGTTCAGATTCAACAGATCAGCCTTCATTACAGTCTATTAGTTAAAGTCATTATAGTTAAACAAGGGGTGACTCATATTGTGCTTCTTGAAGTGGTACAACTGTTTAAGGTTTCATCCCAAAAGATGAAAAAAGCAGCAATTATCAGTGCCTTATTTGCTATATTTTCTCCAGCACCTCAAAAAACTGTAGGTTGACAATATTGACTGATATTATCAGGCAACTATACATTGGTAGAGCTCTGTTTATTAAAATAAGATGTTTATTGTAGGGACAGCTGTGTATATGATTATTTGAGAGCTTATCTTTGGTAGCATTTTTGAATCTGGCTACCAAGATGCTGTACAAAACAATTTCACTGGACAGTCTGCCGACAGACATGCTTACAGGTGTTTATCCAAACCACAGGGAGTTTTGCTGCTAGAGTGGCATAGCAATGTTTTTAACGCAAACATAGCAAGTTTTAAGACAATATTGCTACCAATTCAGTCTTGTGGAGGGACATTAACAAGAGAAAGTGATTCTATATGTGCTGATAGAAAAAGAAATGAAAACATTTTGTACTCTTTTTGTACGCTTGAAAAATGCATGAAAAAAAAGCACAGTACCTGTCTTGTTAAACTGCTGAGTAGCTGATTTAAAGCCCTGGGTGATTAAATGTCTGTTGATATCCGCCCAGTTCTGTATATGTTTCCAGTGCCACTGTCCTTCAGTACTATTGATCCAGTCAGGACAGGGTATTTTTGAATACATGTTACTGTCATGGTAGAAGATGGTCACGTCATTCAGGGTGGTCCTCTGTACAAACTCAGGGAGGTTAAAACCACTGGACACAATTGCGTGGACGCATAGACTTAGAGACTCAGGATCTGCAGGAGAAAAAAGACGGGTCTTACAAAGTCCTCCCATCAATAAAACAAATATGCTAACAAATATATAAGTGTACTCATTCCACAGTGAGTTTACTATAAAAAAGTACATTACACTCTTTTCAGGACCAGAGTGAGGGCAGTGTTGCCAGATTGGGCGGGTTCGTCGTTATTTTTGAGGATTTTAAAAAAGTATATAAAAATATAATAAACTGCATTACTTAATAATTTGAGTTTGAATTGGCCTAACTTCACTTCACACCCAATAAGTTATCAAAACTGTGAGTGACATACATTTTAGTCACTCCTGTTGAGAGGTTGCCCCGCCCCCTGCATCATTTGCGATCAACATCAGAGATTAAAGCACCCAGTTTATTACTGATGTAATGGATGTGTGTCCAGGCCTAGCACAGCACAGATTGTCCAGTTCACTCTGCATTACTGACAGTACAGAGCTCTGCAGTAGTAGGAAACTGGAATGGCTCATGATCTGTTCAGCATAGACTATAAAAGTAAGCATTAAAAATGTGTATGTTGAATAGTTATGCTTGCAATATTATGCTATTCATTTGCTTTTGTGATGGCACGTGATCAGACATTCTATCATGTACAACTCATTAAAAATGTTAATACTCTGAACACATTGATGGGTTTAAAATGTACAAGGTACATGTGGACTGTGATTAGGACTGTTGCAGTCCATCTTGTGTTTGAAAATACTCCACTGGTTTTCCCAAAAGAGTAATTGTTCGGTCTCGAGATGCCTCTTTAGTCTTGAGGGTTTTTTGTGATTCATTTAAAATAACCAAACCTCACTCCATTCACCGGGCTTTTTGATTAGCGTTGTCACAATCAACTATTAAGAACTATTACTAACAATAACATTCTTCTACTTGTATGCTATTACCTTTTCTTGCTGTTGTTTTGCATATTTATTCTTCATACTGTGTACTTTGTGGATTATTCTCATCCATATGTTTGGTCCAGTGAGTGTTTATTACAAATTTTGTTTACTTTTTCTTCATTTTTGATTAGTCATGAAGAATCCAAGCTGCAAGTGATAAAGAAATTGACCAGAGACCTCCACATCTGTTAAGGCACGAGTGTATTTAGCACAGTGAGGTAGGCTTCAGATTCATTCTCTTGCTGTCTCTCTCTCCCACACATACGTATACACTCTCTGGCCATTTTAAGGTACTCCTAACTTAAAGATTGCAGTCTGTTTCATCTTGTTCTTTAGTGGTCAGACCCACCCCCCAGGACCATCACAGAGCAGGCTGTATTATTTGGGTGGTGTATTGGACACAGCTGTGCTGCTCACTGTCCACTTTATTAGACACTCCCACCTTGTTGGTCCACCTTTTAGATGTAGAGTTAAAGATAATAGCCCATCTGTTGCTGCACAGTTTGTGTTGGTCATCTTTTAGTCCTTCATCAGTGGCCACAGGACGCTGTTGGCTTTTTTTGTGGTATTCTCACTCCAGCAGTGACGCTGAGGTGTTTAAAGCATTGCTATATCTGATACACTAGTACCAGCACCACACATACTACCACGCCAGTGTCACTGCAGTGGCAGTGCTGAGAACAAAATAATTATATTACCTGCTCTGTGGTGGTCCTGTGGGGGTGCTAATCACTGATGAATGAGGTGAAAAGAAGAGCTTTGCTCAAGACTAGTTGTACTTCATAGTGCAACAAATGTTCTCATGTTAGCTCAACTGAATATTTCTTTTAGTGTTGACAAAAATGTCAGTTAGTATAACTAATAACTTACAAAAATTGAGTGGACAAAAAAAGTTCGGGGGAAATTCTGTACAAAGTTGGTGTGCAAGCAAAATTTTTTTTTACTGTGTATTTGTTTAAAAGGCCGGAAGTTCCATCTAGCAACAACTTAAAGGGGAATTCCATTAAACCAGGGGTGCACAACCCCGGTCCTGGAGGGCCGGTATCCAGCACAGTTTGGAGGTTCCCCCCTAAAAGACACCCACTAAATCTGGCTATTATCAGATAAGTTAATCAGGTGTGTTGGAGCAGGTAAATCACCAAACTGTGCTGGACACCAGCCCTCCAGGACCGGAGTTGTGCACCCCTGCATTAAAGCTCTGTACTGCACTTATGCAGTGTTTATTTTTGCATATTTCTATGGATGACGTCAGTGCGCGCTCTGCCACGACAGTGTTTTTGTCGGTTTTATGAGTAAAAACAGCGAACCACGTTACACTGAGTTAAACTGAATGTACATTAACGTTGCCATACTGATAATAAGGTAATTAAATATGGAAACTTTTAAAATAAAACCTACCACGACGATGAGACATGAGCTCTGTCTCCTCATTATTCACCAACACCACTGTCATATTGTATCTGACAGTTTTTAATCAACATTAATACATGAAGGTAATGAGATGGGACGGCGGAGATCAAGTCTGCAGCGTCCAGGGTTTTAAAAAGCTGTTAGAAAAAACTCAAACCACCGTTTTCAATGTAGATAAATGTAACGTTATGCTAGCTACAGTGACAGCTATAATAACTCCAATAATCCGCTACATGAGCCAGATACATTAAAACACAACAGTACACAAACTGTAAAAAATAAACCATTTATTAAAATTTTGCATTCACAAACTATAAAAAAAGTCTTTTGATACCTGACATGAAAGTGTCTATGTAAACAGGATGTGCAAACACACAACTTCAAAAAACATAAAGCTTATAACTTACAAAGATAAAAAGCTTATTAATGAAGACTCAGGAAGTGCTTTCTGCTGAAATTATGAGCTTCGGTAGCCAATGAATTTCAAGTTCATTGTAATTAACCAAAAGAAGAAGAAATCACCACTATCATTACAAAACAGCTCAGTATGTGAAAAAAATCCCTTCTAAAAATATCTAATTTGTCAATACTGACAAAGGCAGTTCTAAACCTGAGACTGCTGTGTCTGATACACTCGTACAAGCACAACACACACCAACACGCCACCACCACCACATCAGTGTTACTGCAGTGCTGAGAATGATCCACCACCCAAATAATACCTGCTCTGTGGTGGTCCTGTGGGGGTCCTGACCATTGATGAACAGGGTAAAAGGGGGCTAACAAAGTATGCAAAGAAACAGATGGACGGCAGTCGGTAACTGTAGCACAACAAAGTGCTCCTATATAATCAGTGGAGCTGATAAAAATGGACAATGAGTGTAAAAACAACATTTCACATTTAGAAATCATTATCATAGTTAACACAGAGATATTAACACAGAGACATAACACAGTTATGACAGCAGGTAGATAAACTTAAACCCTATTCAAGCTGGATTAGTTTCATCTGGGGAAGTGCTGTAATTTGAGTAAAGTAATAAGTCAGCAGTGAACTACCTTCTATAATTTGCTGAACTTTGAGTTCCCCCAGTAACAGCAGTCTTGTTCGAATTCGAACTTTCTTGTTCAAATCCACATCACAGTAACATAATAAAATGGCTTTTTTTTTGTTTTTTTGCGACAAAGCTAACAGCTAAAATGAAGCTTGATTTGTCCCAAATCCTTAATCCTCAAGTTCATGACAAGACTACTGAAATCCACACTAATTTGCTGTATACTCCCTGCCACACACTATGACTATGCACCATCATCTCGAATTACCATTGATAGTAGTCGTCACCTCACACTGAAATTAGATGTAAAGTCTCCCTCTCACCTTTTTTGGTGCCATATTTGCTTTTTAGCTGCACAGCCTGTTGTGTTGTTCAAAAGTGTGGCACCTGCTGCATAATGCTGAGGTAAATGTCTGCTTGATGATGTTTCGATCCGGGGTAGTCGGAGTAATTTGGTGAAATTACACTGATCCTTTATCCCGTACGAATTGGCCAGTCATATCACACATAAATCAATTTACTGGACCTCCTCTGGTAAAACTAATCCAGCTCAAACAAGGCTTTTGTCTGCCTCCCTTTTTCATTTGCTGCCTCTGCAGACTCTTCTTTTCTCCCATATTGTAGTAGCTTCCTTTACTTTACTCTCATACTGCTGTATATATGGAAATCAAACTTTCAAACATGACCCAGAGTTGGTTTCAGTAAAAGGTAGTAAAATGCATGGTAAGATGGGTGTAAGGTAAGACTTAAGAAGGCTGAAAGATGACAGACATGCTGTAAGCTCCTCTTCTGGAATCAGAGCAAGTTGCAGTAAAAGGTTCTTGAAGGTTCACTTCAGCTCACAGCATCTACAGGATAGAACAGTAATAAGACTGATTAAACAAGGCACATTAAAATGCAGTTCAATAAGCAAATCTGACAGCCGTGTTAATGAGCCTTGCTATAAAAGAATTTAATGATGTGTCTCACACAGTGAGTATGCAATGCTGTTTTATTACAGATGTTCACTGGTAATAATGGTTTCCTCTATAGTAAAGTGTTGGTTTTCACAATGACACATTTATCACTGATTGCAAAAGCCTGTTGATTCACTTACTTCATTCATTTACTTTACTATTAGATCTACAGCGTCTCCAGAAAACAAATCCAGTGGCTAACAGGAAAATGGCGAGAGATATCCAAACACCAGCCCTGCGGTGATACTGAAACTCCCCAACTACACAAAAGATATTCATTATTATTATCATTCCAAATCACGTTCTTAAACATTAAAGAAAATGAGCTCATGTCAGACTAGTCATCCTACCCCAGACTTTGGTGATGTTGTGTGCTACGCTGCTATGAAGCACTACACAGCTGTAGGTGTGTTTTCCTACATCCTCCTCTGGAACTGTCACACTCTTTCTGGTCTGGTATGTGCCGTCCTCGTTGGGCAGGACATCAGTGAACGCTTCATCCACAGGCTGATCTGGACCAAGCCAGTCCACCTGAACCGCCCGGGGGTAAAACCCCGTCACATGACATGTGATTGTGATGGAGCCGGTCATCTGTTTCTCAAAGATGCTGACTTCTGGAACTGGAACACATTTAAAAACTTAATAACAGGTACAATGAGAATTTTTGGTCCTATCATCAGTCAGGTTAAATTAATAATAAATAAATAATAAATAAAAATTAAGGTCCCTAAGTGTACGATGGAGTGGGTTAAAAATATAGGCTGCTTTATCTCCTTCACAGCTACAAATGAATCATTTTGGACCGAATGTAGCTGCTGCAATCCTAAAGGAACTTTATTCAGATGTTATACTGACCTTTTCTGATGCGGACTGGAGGAGCATTCTTGAATATGTTCAGTCGATCTACAATCACTTTTCTGTAGAAATCTGTTATGTCATTCATGTCCCTTTCATCTCTGCATCTCTGATTTTTATACAGAACTGCTTCAGAAACTGCAGCAACGAACACCCTTCTGTCCAAATCAAGACTTATAAAGTCTTTTCCATTGAATTTGTGTGTTAGTGATGACCTGTAGGTTCCATTTGGATAGAGAGTACAGCAGCCCCAGCCCTCGTATATGTTACTGTCAGCCAAGGAGCCTAAAAAGAGTAAAACACAGTGAGGACTATTGTATCTACATGTAGCGGTGGATGAGATGTACAGACGAAATACTCAGTTTACTCATCAGTGTCTAATAGAAGTACTTACATGTAAACTGTTTGTGTTAAAGTCATTTAATCATAACTGTAAAATCTTTGTAAACCTAATAAATTGATTTTAAAAACATTAAATGACAACAATCCACCACAGCTCATGTCATTCCAACATTATTTAACTGAAGTCCTGCGCAGTCTGCAGTCATGCTACATTTACAGTGTGTTTACCTTTGGAAATGATGCAATCACACTGATCAAATACAGAAGGGTTATACAGGCTGAAGCGCTCTGTTACACAAAATTAGCTGTAGAGAATGTAGAAAACGCATCATTACTCGTATAATTCTTGTATAATTCTATGGTTGTATAATTCCTGATTAATCTGGAAGATTCCTATATCAATATTCTATCCTCTGTGTACCTGCAACTCATTTATTTATATATTTTTTGTATTTAAATTCTATAAGGGGGCTATGCACCTAAGATTTTCACTCACCTTCCACCTGTGTATATGTGATGTGACAATAAACATGATTTGATTTGATTTGGGTTGGATATTTAATCTATTCACATCCAACAACTACATTTAATATATAGGAAAAATGCAGCAGAAGTTCAAAAGTTCTTAATTATTCAGCAAGTAGAACATCGTTGCATCATCAAAGCATTTTTCTACTTTTCATAACTTAAATGTGAGTGGGCGGGCCTAAACTGCTGTAGGCTGAATAGGCAGATATATGTTTAGCTTCCAAATAGGTAGTGTATGGACTGGGGAGTGAATGGTATGCTTTGAAACTGTAACAATGTTTGCCAAAGGCACATCAAACTCCCATTTCAAAAAGACAAGGAAAATTCAAATGTCCATGACAGGGGCCCCTTAAATAACAAAAATATTGTAGCACTGGGCCGGAGCTAACCAGAATTTTTAATGGGATTTTTTTGCGTTTTTTTTTCTCATTTCCCCCTTATTTTACAGGTTTTTGTGTAACAAGGTTCACCCAAAAGTGGAATTAAATCCAGGCCTCCAGGTAGGGGAGGCCAAAGAGTTGTTGATTTACCCCACTGGCTGTGGACAGAGGGGGACCTCAATGGCAGAGCACAGGCAGGTGGCAGTAAAACACAAAATGAATAGTGTAACTGAACAAAGTGTAGAAATGGTGGCCCATACTCACACTGCTGTTACAAGTGACCTGAGTGCAAAGCTTAGAGGGATCAGGAGCAAACTCCAAGAGACTTTAGAGCAATTACCCAAATGCCGGCTTGATCAAGAGATACGTGCACATGGCATATAAACTCATGACTGAGCACAGAACAACCAAAGAGCCACTGTTTGGTAGAGCCCAACACTGGTGTGACCTGTTGTCTCTAATTTCCTAGAGGTGGCTCTCTGCTCCCATCTAGTGGCGGCACTGAGCCTGACCACAGGATGGGTGACAGGGCTCCTGCCCGTGACAGATGGAGACTGACCTATCACATTTTGTTTTTTCAAGCATGATAGATTTTTGGTGTTCAAGTTCAACAGATCAGCCTCAACAGTGACCATTTATGTTCACAGAGCAGACAGATTTAGCACAGTACCTGTCCTGTTAAACTGCTGAAGAGCTGAAGTGAATCCTTGAGAAATTACACGTCTGTTGCGATCTGCCCAGTTCTGTATATGTTTCCAGTGCCACTGTCCTGCAATACTGTTTAGCCAGTCAGGACGGGGCATTTTAGAAGCCATGTTACTGTCATGGTAGAAGATGGTCACGTCATCCAGGGTGGTCCTCTGTACAAACTCAGGGAGGTTAAAACCACGGGACACAATCATGTGGACACATAGGTTTAGAGACTCAGGATCTGCAGGAGAAAAAGAAAGGTCTTACAAAATCCTTGTGTCAAATATTTTTGATAATAAATAAATGCATGTACTCATTCCACACTGAGCTTAATGTCGCTTCTGTCGGAACAAAACCTCATATCTCCATTTTTGTGTTTTTCCATTTTTGACATAATTTGAAAATACCTGCTCTTGCTCTTTACTTTGTAAGTAAATTTAATAATGAATGGACCAACAGAAATGGTCCAAAATCACTTGGAAAAAATTCTGGTTCCATTGACTTACATTAATAGTAAAGTAGGTTTTTTCCTTTTCCTGTAAAGTTACAAGGTTTTATTCCGACAACAGCGCTATGCAAAGTACATTACTCTAGTTTCAGACTGTTAAATATGCTAAGCCGTTGCCTTTTTTAGCACATAATGTTGCTAATAACTTCAGTGTCTAATTACTAGTTAACTAACTGCTAACTTAGCAGAGAAACTCATTAACCTACCCACATACTTAAAAAGATGGTTCTTCAAGGGTTCTTCAGTAAAGTCAGCTGTTCTATTTATGACCATGAGTTCCATATGCACGGTCAGAAGGCTCTTCAGATTGTTGTATGTGGTTCTATATAGAACCCTTCTGAGAATGGTTCTATCCAGCACCAGAAAGGGTTCTGATATTGCTACAATGGCAAGCTTGTAACAACAGAAGAACCCTTTTGGTGCTTTATAGAACCCTTTTCAAAAAGAACCATACACAACACATTCTCTATCAATCTGAAGAACCATTTCACCATGCAAAGAACCATTTAAGCACACTAAAGAACCCCTGAAGGGCCATCTTTTTAAAGTGTGTAGTTAACCACTGTTTACACTGGGTTAACAAACAACTTTTCTAAAACTGACTCATCATATTCTTCATCCTGCTCTTACTTATTTGATAAATAAGATGACCGAGCTGACCCGTCGGCGATAAAGTGAAATCAGGAGGAAGGGTTTAAAGGTGAAATGAAATAAGAGCTACAAACTGATGCTGTCTGGAGTTCCTGTCAGCACCTGCTCATGTTTTGGGGCCTGGTCGCTGCATCTCCTCCTCAGGTGCTTCTTAAAAAATTTGTTTTGCATTCTCGACATTTTTTTTTGGGGGGGGGATTACCCCATGATTTCATAAAGTTATGAACTAAACTGCAACAACGGAAATTCACCAGTTAAAACCATCTCAGTCCGGGCCGAGGAGTCTGAGAAACTGCTAACTAGAAAGGAAGGAAGTGTCGACACTGTCAGTTACAGACCTGTCAGTGAAATACAGATAAACACTCACCCGTGTAGGATCCACTATGAACTCCACGAAGGAGATAAATAAAGAAAATAAAGCTGGTCCTCATGGCTACCTTCTTTACCTCTACCTTCCTGCGCACCGTTTTCTTTTTCTGTTTGCTTATCGCTGAGTCGAGGTGGGAGGGGGTCGTGTTGAGGCGGCGGGGTGGTAACATGAGCGCCGCTCTGCGGTCCATGACAGTCATTACAACCGGTGCTAGACAGTCACAGCGCGGTGCGGTTCAGTTCTGCTCTGTACTTTATCCCGCTGCACTCGCAGGACGAGCCCTGTGTGTTTTTATTCCTGCTGCTATCACTTTCCTGCTTTTTCAGATGTATGTAAAATATGTATTGTGAGAAGATTTAAAGCCACAATCAGCATTTATGTCTATAGCTATCTCTCTCTCTCTCTCTCTCTCTCTCTCTCTCTCTCTCTCTCTCTCTCTCTATATATATATATATATATATATATACATACATACATACATACACACACACACACACACACACACACACACACACACACATATATATATATATATATAGAGAGAGAGAGAGAGAGAGAGAGAGAGAGAGAGAGAGAGATACCGACCATTCAATAAAACCACCTCCTCGTTTCTACACTCACAGTCCGTTTATCAGCTCCACTTACTATATAGGTGCACTTTGTAGTTCTACAATTACAGACTGTAGTCCATCTGTTTCTCTGCATACTTTGTTAGCCCCCTTTTACCCTGTTCTTCAGTGGTCAGGACCCCATACAAGACCACCACAGAGCAGGTATTATTTAGGTGGTGGATCATTCTCAGCACTGCGGTGACAGTGAAAAACAGTGTCCACTCACTGTCCACTTGTTGACGTAGTCAGAAACAATAGTTCATCTGTAGCTGCAAAGTCTGTATATAAATTTTATATTATATTGTTTATTATATTATTATACTATATTGTGTGTTTTATATACATTAATCTGTTCATTGTGGAGAAGTACTGTTAGGATTAAAGGTTCTGTACTGGTACATTTTTCATTCATCAGCAACAGTGGTTTTAAGGTCCAATTTTACTTACGTTTTTCCAGGTGAACAGTACGTATTTGTACCTTCATATAACCGAATGTTTTAAAACAGACCAATAAAATAAAAGCCTGGAGACGAGACGAGATTGTGGAGTCGATACAACTTAGAAAATATAATTTCAATGGATTATGGTACAATTATGTTCCCTGACTAAAGGTACTGAGATGGACCCTTGAGGGTTCCACCCCAGTGACAAGAGGGGCACTGCCCCAGTGACAGTTTTATATCCTTTTTTCCTGAGAGTGAACATGTAGGGTGTTACAAAAAAAATACAGGCACTCAAAAACTGTTTTTAAACCAGTTTTTCACTATAATTAACTAATCATTAATTAGTAGGTTTAGGATTTTGGATAGTAAATAGTGTTGAAGTCATTGTGACCCCTGGCTCCTTTAATCAAAGAATATCCATTTCATATCAAAACACCCTAAATGACTTTGATTACATCTCAGTGACTGAGTAACACAGAAATGAAAATCAGTGGAATCACCCTTTAAATATTTTCAGCAATGATGAGACTTGGTGCAAATGCAGCACCCCTTATCTGGACCATGTGTAGCTTACTGTCTGCTGGATGACACAAGTGTAAATAAAAAGCATTGATGCCTATAACAGTTCCCTGATGGGTTCTGTACTTGACCATATACAACACAGTGGTAGCATCATGGTCTATGAGGAATAAACACTGGTTTATGGTACACTCTAGAGATCTGGAGGGTGTGGAATTTAAATAAACCAGTACATCTGTAACAAAGAACACACACACAAACTGAAATCTGGAAGAGTTTGGCATTTATTAATTCATTTATTTACTTACTTTTTTTTATTATGCAGTCTGCAATAGTCCTAAAAGCTGTGCCATCCTTGCACACGTACAAAACGCACACTAATTTAAACTCCTAACCGACATTCCGAGGAACGCCGGCCATAATCAGCACTACGTAACTGCAGCGAACTGACCGCTGGCAGGTGGCACCAAACAAACCATGTCAATATTCAGATGGAAAGAAAAAGACAAAGTCACGAAGGATGATTGTACTTCACAGGAGTTCACTGAATCACTATTTTGTCATTTTGCATTGAAAAAAAAGGAAAAAACAAAAGTCTAGAGCTACATTTCTAAACATATTCAACCTTAAATGACTGTCAAACAAAAGTAATTTACACATCCTACAAATGTTCAGGCCACGTTTAGACAGATTTTTTACACATATCCATTCGTCATATATCTTTTCCTGCTGTCTAAGCGTGGCCTTATCTAAACCCAGCATTCTTAGGCTGAATTGAGGCACTGTGTTCATAAAAACCTCCTCAGGGGGGCGCCGTTTCTGCATCAGGTTTGCTCTTTCACATTGTTGTGGCCAAAGGCAATACATGCAGGAAAGTAACTGACCCTGGATCAGCTCTACGAGGTTTATGAATACAGGCCTTCACATTCTCAGCTTCTGTACATTAGTGCTTATTTGACACAGTTCAATAAGATTAACCTGATTAATTCAGCCCTATACTTAAAAAGAAAAATCACAATTCTTCCGCTCTCAGCATAGATGTCTGATAGAGTGACAAATGACAGAAAATTTGCATTTCTTTTTTTTTGCTTTTTTTTCCTCTTTTGTTTTGCCAACACATAGAAAAAGACATTACAACAAGCAGTATCAAAAACAGAACACAGGAACTAAAGCGCATATGACACTGGTCAGTCTTTCTTTTTCTTTCTCAAAAAACATTACAAAAAAGGAAGGAGAATTACTTTAAAGCTTTAACTCTCAACGTCAGCTTTTGGTTGGCCAAGGAAATTCAGAAAAGGTGCACAAAGACGACTGAATCATCATAACGTCTCTCAAGGTAAATCAAAGGGAAATTCCACTGATTTTTTAAAAGATTTCTCCATAATTGAATCATTGGCAAATTAAATAAGTAATTCAGAGTGGTTTGGTGTGAAATTCTCTGTATTAGGCAGATGTCAAACACATTTAAAAAAACGGTTGCCTGTATGGTGACACACGGTTTTACCATAGCTTCAAGATTAAAGTTTTGGCTTAAAACATATATATTTTGAATCAGTTCATGGCAGAAGGGGACTTACAGGCAACATAGTACTCTAAGAAAAGACCTTGTATTTTAATGATCTACCACTATTTTACCATTTTCAAATTTAAATATAAAACGTAATAGACACTTGTAGGCTTGCTAGTCATTTTAGACAGTAAATGAAATGCCTGTATTTGAATCGTGGCTTTATTGGACACCTGGTTCCTATCATGACCATTATAACAAAAACAAGCTGGTAAGCATCTCTACAAACGCACCTTTTCACATGAAACCACTCTGAACTAGTTTGTTTGTATCTCAACAATTGAACTATGCAGAAACCTAGAAAATTCAATGGAATTCTCCTTTAAGATCACATATGATAACATGGAAAAAAAACAAAAAACAAAAACAACACTACGCCCCAATGTTCTACTTCAACAGCGCACAAGGTCAAGGCAAAGCGGATTGGATAAAGAGACATACAGTACGGTATATATGTAAAGGCAAAAACATGAGAAAACAGCTTTGGAGGGAAAATACTCTTTAACGCTGATCTGAGGTCAGTTTCAGCGGTTTGGAATACTCCAGTGGTTTTCAACATCATCTCAGTTTGCTGCATTTGTAGATTATGTATCTGTTAATTACCACGGATAATAATGTTAATTAAACTGTGCAGAAAAACAGTGGACTGAAAACTCACCCATAACAGAGGACAATGGGCAGTGAGCTGAACTTGATCATGACTTTCACTTTCATGAATTCTTCAGTCAAAAGTAATTGTAAGTTAAGGTGCAGATATCCATCACTGGCACTATTCGTCCAGAATTTGTGTTCATTTGTTACCAGCGTAGTGGTGTAATGGAGTTTTCACAGAACCAATGCACAGCAGAAAAGTGAAAGTGAAAGTAACTTTATTTTCCACTCAAGCGTTCGAAAGTTGGATAGAACTTCATAAGAACAGTTTATTAAGACATCCTCTCATGTCTGACTCATCCTGAGAGCTGTAACAGTTAAAAGTTTCAAATTTGCTTTATACAGTCACATTTCATACGTTTATTCACGGAATTCAGCAACTGCCCACTGTAAGCGAGTTTTAAGCCAACAGATTTTCTGTTGTTTTTTGTTTGTTTTTTAAAGTGCAGGGAAATTCATTCAAATTACTGATGTCCTACACAGACATGTCAAGTTGAGATTAGGTTAAAAAATGCTGGAATATCCTTCAGAGACCCTTTACGCTGGTCCTAGATCAGCACAAAGAGAGCATCTTCTACTCCGAGAGCCAAGAAACAGCAGCAAAGGAATCCACAATCCACCAAAGAAAACAAAACACAATTAAAAAAAAAAAAAGACTAAGGAACACTGTCCTTCAAAATGGTGGTGGCCTTCCATGTCTGGTGCAAAGTACATGTTGGTGTTCACTAGAGAAGCACTTCTGTGAACCGCACAATTTAGTGTTTCCTGCTCTTTAACATATTAGAAAGCACTGAGGGTTTGATAATGGGCTGACATGTTGAATTAGACAATACATCTTTCCTTAATCGTTATCGTGACATCAGCCTTCATAAGGATATCACAGAAGGCTGCAATCTGTAACTGAGCCTCTAACCTAGTGGTCATCAACCCTGCTCCTGGAGATCTGCCTTGAATGCAGACTTTAGCATCAACTCTAATAAGACTCCACCTGATCCATCTAAAAGTCCTTCATTAGCTGATTGAGTAACATTTGGGAGGTGAAACTTGCCGGAAAGCAGATGTCCAGGAGGCAGGTGGGAGACCACTACTCTAACCAATCATGGGAAATTGGTCATTAAGGGTTCAGTAATGTGTTTTAAACTCATTGGAAAGTATATTGTAATTGCAATATGTACCAATGTAATTGTGTTTTGTCCATTTAATCAGAATACAGAACTACTGACGTAATTCTCCATCTAAACAAACCCCTTCAACTGCTAGAATGCTAATTAGCATCATTTTGAATAGTTTGGCTGGCAATTATATTTGTATCCACATAATATTTATCGCAAAATAGTGCAACGTGTCTTTACCCCCAACATTGTTCAGCCCTAGTTAGAGCCAAGAAAACACAGCACTGTGCAGCGCTGGAACTATCCACGTCTAATGTGCCTTATCAAGAAATGCAATGCAGCAGACTCAAGTGTGGAGTGCAATATATGTATACATAGATGAGACAAACATGTCAGCCATGGCACTTCAGCGTCTCACATTTTCATTTTGTCACTAACTAAACAGCTCTGACTATTGGCTTTCATCAAAGCGTGCTGTGCTTCAGGATTTTCACAGCCTTAATATATAAAGACCCGCACCCAGCAAACCCATTAGAGCCCAATTAAAAAAGGCTGGCTTCCTCTTCTTCTTCCTTCTTTTTCTTCTTTGTATTGCACAATTGGAAAAATGAAAAAAGTGGTGCAGTGAAAATAATCACCCCATCCACACCTAATTGTAACAATCTTCAACTAACACATCCTTCAAATATATTTAATCTCCTTTAAAGCCGATCTGGTCTGGTTCTACGCTCCAATATGCCGCATTTGAGCTACATTAACTTCATGAAAATGGGTTAAAATCGCATCTCTGATCAAGGGCACGCCTCCCTGTCTCCTTTGGATGCATCTCATCTACACCCTGTGCTAACATATTCCCATAGGAAAATGGAACATACTGCCATGTTTTGTCAATATATTCCAAATGATAAGTAAAATTAATTGGAACATATTTTCAATATTACATTTTTGTATGGGCACTCATACTGCTGCCACCTGCTATTCCCCAGTGTAGCACACATCTCTTGGCCGACTGCACTGGCATGTCGTTTCAGGCGCATTTCCCCTGTGAGTGTCGGCGTATTTCTCAGTTGGTCTCGTAGGTGGACAGCAGTGCTGCATCCACAGGCTCCATGCAGGACGGGCAGGTGAAGGAGCGCATGAGCCACGTGTCGATGCAGTCCACGTGGTAGATGTGCATGCAGGGCAGGAATCGGATGGGGTCGCCGTACTCGAAATCCAGCATGCAGATCACACACCTGCGACGAGACATCACAAACAGTCACAAGTTGCTAATTAGTATCTAACAGATATGACGATTTTGTCACTGATACCGTTTTTATGGAGGTAAAAATTCAGATGACCAATAATTCAATGTTGGAGCCAAAAGAATTAAATTAAGTGTATTTTGTTTAGTGTATTTGTTTACGACCTAATTTGTAGATGTAAAACATTACATTTTGTATACTGTCTCTCAGTGTATATTCTTGTTTTTTGGCTTGCTAAGTAGCTTAATTTTATGAATAATGATGTTATTGGTGGGCGGCACGGTGGCGCAGTGGGTAGCGCTGTCGCCTCACAGCAAGAAGGGCCTGGGTTCGATTCCCGGCCAGGTGACCAGGGTCATTTCTGTGTGGAGTTTGCATGTTCTCCCTGTGTCTGCGTGGGTTTCCTCCGGGTACTCCGGTTTCCTCCCACAGTCCAAAAACATGCAGTCAGGCCAATTGGACGTGCTAAATTGCCCCTAGGTGTGAGTGAATGTGTATGTCTGTCTGTCTGCCCTGCGATGGACTGGCGATCTGTCCAGGGTGTATCCTGCCTTCCGCCCAATGACAGCTGGGATAGGCTCCAGCGACCCAGAAGGATAAGCAGTTTAGAAGATGGATGGATGGATGATGTTATTGGTCAGTTGAGTATTTTTGACTATAGTGTACCACCAAAGCACAGCACTCAAAAGCTTAATTTTTGGTTGATTTCCAGATGAAGTATTTGGATTACTTGCTTGTGAGACACAGTGTCCTTCAATTAACATTAGAAGCTAACAAGAAATGGATGTTTAGATCCCACTAATTAGCCTTATGCAAACAAAGTCATCACACTTTGACCAAAAGTGTGTTAAATAGCTAAAAACACTTGTAGTGATCCCACATTTAGTCCATACTTCAATCTTCATAGATAACAGGAAAAGAAACAGATTTGAGATTACTTAATAACCCAATGCTATCCCTTTATACAAATCAGTCTACATGTTTATGTTTCAAGTTTCGCAGCTGTGAAAGACCCCCAGTACTCACTCTTTGATCTTCTTGTCGGAGGGTTCGGAGCCTGGGTCAAAGATCCCGCGGGGGAGGTGCTGGATGAGGCCGATACGCTGAGCAATCCGCACCTGCTCCTCCTCCGTCAGCTGGGTGGCCAGCCGAGGCTGACTGGGTGTGGGGTGGTACACGGGAACCTGTACACGTTCCTGCAGAGTACATGAATACACAAACTAGCATTTTATTACTGTTCTTGCAAATCTTACAAAAATAAATAAATAAATAAAAAACTTGAATGAATGTCATGCACTAGTTGATAACTTCACCCTTGAAAGGTTCCAGAAAACGGTTCACAGCAAAAAGTCGCTGTGATCTTAGGCATGGTTTATTTTTAAATATAGTGCGACAACTATTAAATATTTTCAAATGTGAAAATATTCAACAGCATCAGCACAACACTACTGTTGGGTCCTGGATACCATGTGTATAGCATAAAACAGAATGAAAAACAAACCCCAACAGGGACACTGCTGTTTTATGGGCATTATATATACAATTTTATCAGGTCCATTTATCATAGAGATGCACTGTGCAGTTGTACGATTACAGAGTTTAGTGTACCGACTGTCGCTGTCCAAAAAACAACAACAAAAAAACAAGTATCTCTCATTTTTATCGATTTTCATTTTTCTACATCATTTGAGCTCGCCAGCCCTTCACATTGTGTCAAAATGGGCCAAAAGAAGTGCTCGAAAATCACCTGGAATAAAACAATTACATTACTGAGACATTAACTTTAAAAGTAAAAAGCCCCGACAAAAAAAAAAACAACAAAAACATGGGCTGCATCAATTAATGTAGCTGATGACATGAGTGCCATGATGATGCCTGGATCTGGTCCACATTCACTACAGAACTAAATAGTGTAAGGCAGTAAGGAAGGCAGAAAGGAAGGAAGACAGGAAGGAAGGGAGGCAGGAAGAAAGGTAGGTAGGTAGGTAGGTAAGTAGGTAGGAAGGAAGGAAGGAAGGAAGGAAGGAAGGAAGGAAGGAATCAATCAATCAATCAAAAACACCACTGTCTCTCTTCCTCAAATTCCACTGCAGTGTTATTTTCTGCCCAGGTGTTCTAGCTGCCCAGTTAGGGAGGCTACAAAACATCGACATAACTCGGTCGGATTTGGTTTCTCACAGAGTCTGATCAGTTTTAGTCTTAGCAAATTCCAAGCTGTGTGTGTGGAGCTGTCGAGTGCGTTCAGATGAATTCCACTGTGGAACTGATCAGACAAAGTCTCCCACAGGCTTAGTGAACTGAAATGTTTACAAACTGTTGACAGGCCAGTTTAGAATTTCAATCATCAGTAAAACTAGAACAGCTTCTTTTGGGCAGGTAATTCATTTCTGGTCATGCTTGAGCTAATATAACTGTCAGATTAGTACAGCTTACATGAAGCTCTGTGTGAATGTATTAACACCCTACAAGATTAAAAGTTTCCAGACACAAATTAAGCCTAGAGCTGGATTAAAGACCAAAATGAGGATGATATGAATCTCAGTGGGTTGCAATGGAGGTCTTTTAAAGCTGTTGTAAGCATAATGCTTTTTTGTGTGTTACAGCATTTGGTACAGGAGAGAATGTCATCTGTTTCAAATTTGCATTATACAGGCACATATTTCATACATTTGTTCACAGAATTGTCTGTAATGTCTACTTATTATTATTCATCCAATATAAGCCAATCACAATTATTGCATAATCACCTAATGGCAATATTTATATTGACTGCATTTGTTTTCCACTGTTATTAGTATTTACAAGCGTACGCTAAGGTCACCAAAAACTGAGTGTTTTTAGTTGTTGAAGTAAATAAATGTAAATAAAAGAAAGCAGAAACACATGTACTGAGAGACGTATAATGGGGTCTCTCTTTCAAAGAAAAAAGAGATCAAAATAAGGTTTAATTTCTGGCATCCACGTAATTTTACTTGCTGTTGTTTTGAACATCTGTGAACCCATGAACAACAGCACTACCAAAGCATCATAAGAGAAATATGGAATGGTAAGATGGGCTGATTTGCTTCTGGCACAAGCTGTAAATTCACTCAGCCAGCCTGTAATTCTGTGTCAAATGTGTTGTGAGATATTACACAGAGCCAAACCTCCCCTAGGGTAGTTTATCCATTTGGGCCAATTTTTTAAAGCCCACGTTGCCCTGCTCTGCCTTCCCACAGTACACAGTCAGTTCTTGTTTGTGGCGGCCATGTCCTGTTCTAACATGTGATTGATAGAGACATGATCGCAGTCATTATAATAAAAAAAAAAATAAAAATTTGCAATATTATATTAGTGCCATGCTAATGGGTTATAGCGCCTCTACACAGACATTTGGAGATTACACTACGGACATTTAAAGCATTTAACTGCTTGTAACAGACAGATATATATCTTACTTTGTATTTTGCTTGTTTTAGAGCCCCTCAGTAATGATATGAACTTAATCCTTGTCATGTTCTGTTCATGCTGTAGTTGAAAAGTGCAATGCTGTAAAACACTGATTCTGTTAGCCTGCTATAGTATTAGGGAGTGGGGTACACCAACACTTAGGTATATAAGTTCAACCTGTAGTTAGATAGACAGCTTGTTTCATTGATTTATTGCTGTCGCTGGAAGGAGCCCTTAAATGTGGAGCTACAATGTGTGAGCTTTTGATGGGTGTTATTTTTTAGCCCTCCCATTTAATGATTATGCCCAGCCATCGTTGGTCATGAGTATTAGGAAAAAACTAAAAGTTCTATATATAACACCTTTAGAGGGCAGCAGTGAGTAATGTTTGTTTATTTGAGCCCAAGTTGTTCGTCATCTGTAAGCAAGATAGCTTATTAGCCAATCTGGCCATGATAGACTTGTACTTTCACAATTTAATTGTCTTTTTTTATTGTATGCAGCTTTTAATCACAATTACTTTATTGAAATTGTCAGCTAAATGTTATGTAGGGCTGTCATGATCATGCAATTGTATCTGAAGATTAATTGTCACTTAAATAATTGTGATTAATGATTTATCTTTTCTTGTCCAATGTTCGCATCTATTAAAATGTAAGCCTAAAGTAATTAAAATGTCTACATGTTCTTCTTGAGAGTGAAAATATAAGCCTGGGTACACGTTAAAAACATCAGAATTAGCTACAAAGCTAAAAAATAAACAAATGCTACACAGCACTGCTCTCTAAAGATGTTACAGCACCAAGTTAGAAGTTGCAACTTTTTCTGTTTTCATAAACCCCATGATGTTTTAATGAATACAATCACTGCTTACTTTTATTTACATGTGTCTGCCTCACCCCAACACACCCAATTCACATTCTGTTTGTTGCAGCATAACAATTGTGAAATGTAACGACTGTGGAAAATGACTGCAGTTAGATAAAATAATGTTGATCACCTCAAATAACTGCTTTTAGACAATTATGTAACAGCTGTGACAAGCCTAAATCAGAATGTTTTTACATTAGGCCTGGTTTTACTGAGTAGGTTAACACTGATCAGTTTACAGGCAGCTGAGTTCGTAAAAAACACTGACTGAGGCTTTAAACTGTTCTGTCTGTGGAAATAGGTTACGAAAGCATTAATCTGTGTCTGGAAAATCTGAGCCAAAGCATGACTGATATCTCAAATCAAATATGAACCTTTAAAAAAGAAACAGTAATGTCTGATAACATCTGGCTGAAGCCAGCTGGGTGAAGCATGTGACCCTAAACAAATTATGTCATAAGAAAAATTCCACACCAATTAGGTCACAGTTTGCAGTACAAACCAGTTTGAGCCTGCGATGTCCAACTTTGGGGGGGAGGGAGCGGGGGGGACTTTTGGTCAATGAAAGGAAGATCTAAATGCAGTCTATAGTCTTTTTAAAACACATAAAATTAAACAGAAAAGCTTACAGTATCTTACAATATTCACAAACAGGCAGGGCTGAGCAATACTGAGAACATTTAATATCATGATATTTTCCAAATATACCAAAATGTTACAGTATATTTAAGTTAGCGTTAATAAAGTTAATGAGACTGTTTGTTCCACAAAATGTATGCTAAAATAATGTCTTACAAACCCAACACAGACTGTTTGCTCTGTTTTTATTCTCTGTAAATGACACCATAGGGGACCTTACACAGTGCTGTAAATGATTACCAGACTGAAGGTACATTTCCAAAAAGGAGATTAGTACTTATTTAATTTTTATAGATTAAAATATATTTTACAGTAAATTGTGAAGTCCTGGACAAAAAAAAAACACTTTACAACAAGAATGCTACTATTTTTTGAGCATTATTATATATATATATATACACACACAAGAAACAGAGTTGAAAGCTTTAAAAGCTTACTGACATTAGAACTTGTACTTAACTTCACTGACAAGGACACACGGTTATAGTCTCACTCTCTTTTTGTCTTATCTGTTTATGATATAACAGGGCAGTCTGTTCAAGTTGAAGGAAATACAGGTTATCAGTTAATCTCATAAAAAAGTCTGAAGGCTTATGACAATATTGCTCTTTGTGCTTTGCCTAACGTGATACTGATTTAAATACAGCAGTGCAGTGGCCAAAACCACACCCAGTCGCTTTATACACCTGTACTGTAATCTGAGCCAGGTCAAATACAGCTGGATTAAAGCACACTGTACAAAACGAGTTGACTTCGCTGAATAAAATCAGCTTGCTTTGACAACGTGACGACGTCGTCATGAATGTGTGCCTTACACATAACATTCATTATAATTAATTAATATTAGAATGAATAAGAAAAGCAGTGGTTCCCAATCTAGACATCCAGGACTTTCCAGACAATTTGTATTTTGGTCCTACTACAGTTTACAGTAGAGCAAGGTCATCAACAACTGATCTGATATACAAAACTAAATTATTAGTTATTATTATTGTTGTTGTTATTGTTTTTATTATTATTATTATTATTATTATCAGTAGTAGGATTATAAATACTATGACTAGTAAAAACAGGAGTGACACAAGTGCAGAGAAATGACCTCTTTTGGGCTAAAATAGGCTGTTTGTTGATTTTATAAGTATTATTAATCTGCTATGAGGGATAGAACCAAAGGCTGGGAGTGTTAGAGTTGAAAAACCCATCTTACATGGGCAGAAAAATAAACCCTGTTTTAACTCCAATAACTTACACCAATTCCACATGCCTTCGTAGGTGTATGAGTTCGGATCAAGGTAAAGGTAAAGTGGTGCATCCTCTGCACTAGAGCCCGGTGACATGGATCAGATATCAGGTGATATTAAAATCTGAACTAATAAAATTAATTCTTCCAGAGTGCTGCTGACTCTATGCTAAAAGAATGCCTTATAAACCTGACATAGCTTGTTTTGACTGTTTTGTTCCATTTTCTTCTATCAAAGTGAAGCCCAGCTGTTGAGGCACATAAGCCTGTATGTAGTGTACGTGTCCAATACTATTCAAATATGGTGTATAAACCAAGCAAAATGTTTTATTATTTGTAAAAATAGACAAAATCCCTCTGCTAGCAGGTTGCCATTTTTGTTGTGGCATAAAACAATTGCTCTCTCTCTTGTCCACTGAGCAAAGAACAGTGAGCTAAATATCTAATTTAACTCAAATATATCGTTCAGCTTTTCCAACTTTAGCTGCAGCGTTACACTTTATTGCGTTACATACTTTCTCGATTGTCTTATTTTCAGTAGGACTGAATTCAGTGCAACCACACGACACCATCCCTGTGTGACAGTGGTGACCTACGAGTACAGGGACTTTGTCCGTTTGTCATGTTTTGCATAATAAACACAAGCTTTCAATTTAATTTATGCATCCTGTTTTAATAATATTAGACATGTACGCTACTTTAAAGCATACATGTCTTAATAGTCAGGGTAAAAGTGAAAAGTGCACCAAAGTGCAACTTACACAGTATTGTACATGTTAACCAGTCAGAAAGTTAATTTCCAGAAATTAAGCCTCGTTTTTATTTTTATATTTATGGATTTTAAACAATCTGAAACACCCAATAAATGGCAGGTTGGATATCATGAGTAAAGTGCACAAAAAACTATTAAAAACACTAAAAACAAACTGAACGAAGCAAAATGAACACCCCTAATTTTATGGCATTAGATCATGAGTTGTGTGTCATATATCTTTACTGGTAAAACTGAATCACAGGATCACGGTACGTCAATACGGCAGTGTAGTGGGATAAACTATGTATCAGCCAAAAAAAATGTATCAGCCAGCCCTGTTCTGTGCCCTGATTTCATAGAGAATTTGTTTTGTTAACAAGTCAATCTAGAAACTGGTTCATATAGTAAGCCAGAGAGCACAAAGCAAAGTTAGTTTGTGTTTGCTAGGGCTGATGCTGATGGTAGGAACTTTCCCACATTAGCTTTTTTGCATTCTCTTGACTGTTACAAGAGGGTCTACAGGTGGCCTGAGGAGATTCAAGAGAATGAGGAACAAAGAAACCGTCTCAACTTTCACACCTTGGAATTAATTTGCATGAAATTGTCAACCATGAACTTTACAAGCTAATCGGATGCCATTCACCTGCTTCATTGGTCAACTAAACAATTGGTGTTCAACAACTAAATTTAGTATGACAGGTAAAAAATGACCACAGAACTTGTTCTGATCGGCCTAAAGTGATGAAATTTTGAATAGTATTAGATTGGATGTCACGTTTATACTTGTATTCATAACCAAATTTGTATTATTTACTGTTTTGTTAATAATCAGTAAGGCAACATTTATTAATATAAAACCACTCGTTTTGTACCTATATGATCTGATCTTCTGATTTGTGCTCATACGAGTGAGCAGAGAACATGTGGAGCTGTGTAGCAAAGCACATTCAACACTGGTGCGTTAGGAAGAGAAGTTAGGCCTTCATGGAAGCAGAAAAAGAGGAGCTTCATCCTCCTGACAATCTACCGTTTGTCTGAGAAATGATCTACGTGCACACATCGATAGGTGGGAGGTTCACTTTTACGCCGAAGCCACATTTTCCATATTAATCTTTCTTGTTTGAGGCTAAAAAGTCCTGCTTGTGTGGCTACCTGATAGGGTGGCGGAGGCTCCCCTGGAAGACTCGCCCCTTCGGACTCGTTCAGAAGAGACAAGTCATCGGCACCTTGGGAGGAGAGGCAGTTCCCCATTTAAATGTTCAGAAGAGAGACACCTGCGCGATATTAATCAAAATCCACGACGACTGGGAGAGCAGAACGCCTCTGGTCAGGCTGTCTGTGCTGCCTTCCTTTACAGCTGGCCAGCTAACGTTAACGTTGGTTAGGAGAAAAACACACGGACCCCCGTCTGGATTTCCACGGAAAAAAAGACCGAAAACGATGATACAATCCTTGCGGTAAAACTCTCGGAGGTTATTTTAAGCCTTGCAGATTAAAACCCCATGCCTGCCATCTACTGTACGGACGCTGTGGCCTGGTTATCCAGCGGAGCAATATTTTTAGGTGAGACCTCTTGACGACTCCATCTCTCCTTTCGCTGTGTTTACAAACTGCTGGAACGGAAGTAGGGTCTCCGCTGCATTGTGGGAAATGTAGTCCACGATCGGCTTTCCATACCGAACGCGCGTAAACATTCGTACGTGTTAAAACAGCAAACTGGTCTCAGTTTAGCATACCAGCAAAAACGTGTCCCTCCTGTTAAAATAAGCTGAAAAAGGGCCATGAATCCTTACTACTGAGAGCTGAGGTCTTACATGCTGTCTCACAGGCGGGGCTAATTCACCAGGAATTAACAGTAGGCCTACTAGTGTAACATTGGAATTGATGTGCATGCCCAAGTGTGCTGCAAAGTATTGTTTGGGTCTGTGAATTTGTGTGAGAATGCACAAAACAAACAAACAAAAAGAAATAAGGAGTCTTTGAAAGAAGTGTCTTTCCTGCTCTTTGAGCTTTTTGCTTAATATAAGTTGAACATTTAAAACTCAGTGTTTCACTCTCTTCACCCAGACGCTGCACTAGTAACATTAGTGCTAAATGAAATTTCTGATATCATGAAGCTTTGGGTTAAAAGCTAAAACAGCTTGCTCTAGTTTAGCGTGGGAGGACTTTTTCAAACCTCAGATTATTTAGTGTGTTTTGAGGGAGAATTTTAGATGATATGGAAGAATCTTTAGGTTAATTATAAAGTAATAAATTATTTCAATAATGACTGATCATATTATCGCTGTTGTCAGAGTTTACAGGAAAAGGAAAAAACCTTCTTTACTTTTAATAGAAGTCAATGGAACCAGACTTTTTTCTTGGTCATTTTGGGTCGTTTCTTTTAGTCCATTCATCATGAAATTTACATACAAAGTAAAGGGTAAAGGGTTTTTCAAATTTTCAAATTATGTCAAAAACTGAAAAACGTTAAAAATGGAGATACAAGGTTTTCTTCCAACAACAGCGATATGTAATACTGTATGGCTCTGTCTGTGCATGTGCACATTTCTGTGTGTGTGTGTGTGTGTGTGTGTGTGTGTGTCTGTGTGTGTGCGTGTGTGTGTGTGTGTCTGTGTCTGTGTCTGTGTGCTGTGTGTGTGTGTGTGTGTGTGTGTGTGTGTGTGTGTGTGTGTGTGTGTGTCTGTGGGTGATCCTGAGTATGTTGCATATTGCAATGGTGTGTGCCAAGTAGGCCTCATCTGGGAGAAGCACACATGCAGAGAAGAACCTGGTTGTCCAACATAAGCATTAAAATGTATGAAAAATGCTGAAGGAGAAGGAGATAAGCACATACACAGAGAGACTGAATTATAACCATATTTACTTAAAGTAATAAAGTTTGATTTGATCCTGATTGTGGCCTTTACTGTAATTATTTTTTTTTAAAAATGTTACTTCTTGGTTTTGAAGTAATGGACGAATTCTTCAGAAGAAAAAAATGTGATGTTAATAAAGATGTGAATAATGAAAGATAATCAGAGACACAATGTAAGGACTGGAAATAATGTAAGATCTGCAATGAGATAATGGTGTACAAATCAAAAGGCTTGAAATATTTGGGAGGGGCAAAGAGGAGTCGGGTGATGAGACCTCCTTGCCCAGAAAACAGTCTAAAAGTTATGGGCTTTTGGGGGTTGGTCAGTTGCTGCCTGGGCCAACTCAGATTGACGCTTGTTTGTTGGAAAGCCTTACTCTTAAATAAAACAATTGTGCCTTTTCCTGCCAATCCTGGTGTTTTGAGCTTTATTTTAATGTTTGAATTTTTGAGCAAAGCTCGACAGTTTAAACTTTCCCAGGTCTATGATGTTGTTTTAGTGGTTTTAATCTTCTCCTTGTGAACCTATTCCATCTGCTTGCTGAGTTCAAAACATTTTATAGCAACAAATCATTGTGCTGAGCCTTTTAACAGTGAAGCCTAGAATGTAGTTGAACCACAAATCCCATAACTTCGTACTGACGCCGCTTCCTCTGGATGTGTAAGAGTGGAGTCATCAACACGACAGACTTTGTAATCCAGTTTGGTGAAATGCTTGTAAAAAGTGAGTTTCTGTCGTTTACTGTCAATTAATCGTTTGGATCATTGACCTTGTGTGAGTTATAAATGAATATGGGGATGATGTGGAATATGTTATGTTGTATAACCTATAATGAGCATCACATCCAAATGATTGTCAAAGGGTAATTTCACAGATTTATAAAAATCTCTGCATAATTCAGTCGTTGAGATGTAAGAAAGGTAAGCAGTAGCAGTAACGCTAACCAATCGTGTAACAGTAATATAAGCGTCCTACAAAACTCAAAACCTGTTTGCTGTAAAGAAAAGGAAATTTCCAGATAATTGTTCTTTGATTTTAGTGAAATACATCCTTCTACTTTCCACACTTGAAAGACGGTCCTGAACAAAAGGTTAGAAACTCTTTCAACTTCTCGTTTTTAGCCTTTTAACTCCATTCACCCCCATTCATTCAGGACTCGCTCGCGGGCGCCCTCTGGCGTTTATCAGCCATGCTTTTGATATAACAGTGTAATAGGAAGCGGCCAGGCTCTCCTTAATGAGACTCTGGAACCCCCATGTAGATATGAAGGGCTCGTTTTAAGCTAAAGGAAACACAACGATTCGTGGTCACAGGTGATAATGAAACAATAGAACACGAGAGGGAGTGTGTCACGGAAATATCATCACAGCCGTGACGTTATAGCGATAACACACGACCTCGAGTGTTCTATAGCTTTTATACAACCGCTGAATAAATAAAGTTAAAAATTAATAAATAGGCAATTCCTTCCGCCAAATTATAGTTCCTTAACGAGCAGCTTGACGAGCTCCGCTCACTCGCTGCACAGGCGGCAGTTCGTTCTCCAGCTCCTCACACTAAATCCCCAAACATCACCACTGAGCAGCTTTTCTGTTTTTTATTGCGGCAGTTTTATGGCTCAGTCGGATTTGGTCAGACTCTGAAGATCAGACTGCACGTTTGGCGAATGGTGTTGGGTTCATTTCTGGCTGATTCCAGGTTGTTCAGCTGTTCTGTCACAGCTGCCGACTGAAAAGCTGCTCAGCGGTGATGACAGTTTGGGAATTTAGTGTCGTCTCATCTTCAGAGTCTGACCAAATCGGCTGTCGGTCAAATGTGACCTTAAAAGCATCCATTTTCTGTTTTTTTGCGCAAAGTAAGAAGTAAAAACGTTCAAACGGCTTGAGCGTCTCCTACAACTGTCAAAGTCGTTGCTTAGCAACGGCGTCTTAGCGGAGTGATACCAGAGAACTTGTAGAGAGGAGAGTTACCGCTCTGCAATGTCTTCCGGTTCTCTCAGACGCTAGAGGGCGCTCCCGAGTGAGTCCAAAATGAATGGGTTGATACGCCGCATTTGAGCGAAATCATCGTTTATAAATGCTTAAACATTTTCAATGTAAAAGAATGCGATCACTTCCTGAATACAGAAGAGCATAAAACATTTTACCACCGCTGTTATGTTTTAAGAGCTTTTAAACTCGAGTTATAGGAGTTTAAAACGGCACCTTATGTACGTTCATGACGTCAGTGAGCGCGAACAGCCAATGAGCTGCTCCGCTCGCCAATCAATCATCGCGCTCTAGCAGTAAAGCCCGCCTCCTGCTGCCCAAAACCCGTTTGCTGTAGAAAAAAAGGAAACATGTAGGTGAGATTTCTTTGCTTTTTTAGTGAAATACATCCTTCTGCCTTCTAAAATTAAAGAAACGTTCTGTATAAGTGATTAGAAACTATTTTAACTTTTCGTTTTTAGCCGTTGAGCTCCTTTCACTCCCATTCATTGAGGACTCACTCGCGGGCGCCCTCTGCTGTTCAGCAGTCCTGTTCTTGATATAACGGGGGGAATAGGAAGCTGCCAGGCTCCTCATAAACCGGCTCTGGTGATACAGTATTAGTGAAAAACCGGTGATGTCATGGTGAAATAACAGCACAAGCAATCAGCCTGCGCGGCCGGAACTAACTGTTGTATACTACACTATTTAAAACCTTTGTAGACTATATTCCATTTCTGCTTATAGACCCCGAAATCTTACACACTGCACCTTTAAATACGCTGTTGTTGTTGTTGTTGTTGTTTTAAAGCCCTTTCCCTTTAGCCTACTTCATGAAGGCGAACAGCAGGGGGCGCCCTGAGCGCTTTCCATCCCCGCACTGCGCTGTAGGAGAGACAGAAGAAGAGCTGAGAAGATGAAGGAGAGTACTTGACAGAAGCGTGTTTAGCTTGTTAGCTAAATAACCGCACAGCCGAGCGCTTATACTCTGCTTACTCCGCTCCGAGGCACATCCGCTCCTCTAAGGGCACTAGGATTTCATATTTAGGACAAACGTGCAGTCGACAGCGCGTTTCGGAGCTTCGCAGCCATGCAGATCACCCTGAAGACCCTGCAGCAGCAAACCATTCATATCGACATCGACGACGACCAGACGGTCAGTCTAACTTTCTCTCGCACGGCGAGCTTCGTCTGCGGGCTTCTGAGAGAGGAAGATGATGCGGAGAATCGTTTTTACGCTTTAAACTGCCCGTCTTGGCCGAAGCTCGAATCAGCTTCTTATTCGCCAGGTTCTTGTTCAGATCTTCCCGTTCCACCTTAAATAGTAAAGCAGTTAGTGCTGTGCCGTTTAAGGTGGACTGGGAAAACGCCTCATCTGTTTTTGGGTGATTTATTATCCTCTCTGGAGGCTCCCTGTCACGCCTTTCTTAGTCATCTGCTTACTGTGGCGCTGACATGTTTACCCGGTTCACAGCGTTGAAGTTACCGCCCACTGCTTGTTTGCTGGGGATGTGACGATACACGATGTTTTCAGGATCGATACGGTTGTCGATTCTGAGGTCAAACCTCGATTCGATTTACGATATTTTGTGTTAAAATGTCTTGATTCTGTGGATATCTAATTATAGATAAGATGATGAATTCTGAGAATTGGTTCTCACATGAAAATTTAGATTTTTTCATCACTAATTACACACAGTTGAAAGCAAAAGTCTGGTCAAATTACGTCTGTTGTTGATTTTCTGTTTATTTGCTGAGTATAACATTGACATAAGGTCAAAAAAGTTATGGCTTATTTTGTATTTTATGGTTCATTTTTAAATTTGAATTTAATAATGATTTATTTTTTTATTTATAATACAATTGTGGGTTATTTTACGGTTCATTTTAAAAATTTAATTTAATAATTTATTTTTTTTAAATGTACAATAAAATTCAGCAAAAAAATAGAAATTGTGTACTACACTTTGCAGAAAATTGCCAAGTTTGTTCTCTGTAGAGGGGGTCTTTTCACTTAGAAACTCAACAAAGCTTGTGTTGATTTGAGGTTTTCAAACCTTTACATATATACTCACCGGCCACATCATTATGTGCACAAATAATGTATAGGTGCCCTTTGTAGTTCTGCATTTACAGACTGTAGTCCATCTGTTTCTCGGCATACTTGGTTAGACCCCCTTTATCCTGTTCATCAGTGGTCAGGACCCCCACAGAGCAGGATTACCACTGGTGGATCATTCTCAGCAGGTCCAGGCCTGTTTTTTTTTGTTTAAGAAGACTTATATATCCACTTATTTTGGTTTGATGCTTGAAGACTGAACATAGTGCACCATAGAGCGAACTGGTTGTGGTTCTGTTGTCATGAGTCACAGTTGGTCTGACTCTCTTAAGGGCAGATCATGAGCTCCGTGTTACGTTATTTTTCTCTATTTAAAAGTAGTTAAAATAGAGTTGTTAATAATGTAGACTGTAATTAAATTTGCAACCAATGCGATTTGATAAAATTATGTTATAAAAACAATAAATCTTTCAGCTTTGGAGTCACTGTGCCCACTCACTGTCCACTCTGTTAGACACTCCTACCTTGTCAGTCCACCTTGTAGATGTAAAGTCAGAGACGATAGCTCATCTGCTGCAGCACAGTTTGTGTTGGTCATCCTCTAGTCCTTCATCAGTGGTCACAGGAAGCTGCCCACAGGACGCTGTTGGCTGGATATTTGTGGTTGGTGGACTATTCTCAGTCCAGCAGTGACACTGAGGTGTTTAAAAACTCCAGCAGCACTGCTGTGTCTGATCCACTCGGACCAGCGCAACACACACTAACACACCACCACCACGTCAGTGTCACTGCAGTGCTGAGAATGATCCACCACCCAAATAGTACCTGCTCTATGGGGGTCCTGTAGGGGTCCTGACCATTGATCAACAGAGTATTTACAACAAGTCTTCTCATCTTTGTAAAAGATATCGATGCTTTGTTGTTTTTGAAAGGAAGTCTCACTGTATCACACTAAACTACTCACCATAGCCATCTCAGCCTATAGCTGTTAACTGTAGTGTTAACAGGGTGGAGAGTTGTTTATAGCACATGTAGTGGGTGGGACAAGGCAACAAAGGCAGTTTCAAGAGTTCTTTTTTGTTTGGTTTCATGATGTTTCTGTTAGACTTAAGGCTCAACTTGGGATAATTATAGTGACAGTGCTGCTAAACTTTGATTCAGTTTGCCACAACTTATTAATGCTGAATAAACTTAAATTAAAAGGAACTTTTTGTGAATATTGTTGTGTCTGTATTGTCTCTGTTTACAGGTGAAGGCCTTGAAAGAAAAGATAGAGGCAGAGAAAGGCAGGGACAGTTTTCCAGTTTCAGGACAGAAGCTGATCTATGCGGGCAAAATTCTGCAAGACGATACGCCGATCAAAGAGTACAAAATCGATGAGAAGAACTTTGTCGTTGTCATGGTATCGAAGGTAAGAGCTTACGTTTTTTTCAGACTCTATATGCATATCATCTGCTACTTCATTAAGCACACCTCCTTGTTTCTACACTCATTCTCCAATTTCTTCAGCTTCTCTTACCATAGAGGTGGCCCTTGTAGTTCTACAATGACAGACTGGAGTCCACCTGTTTCTCTGCATACTTTGTTAGCCCCCTTTTACCCTGTTCTTCAGTGGTCAGGACCCCACAGTACCACCACAGAGCAGGTATTATTTGGGTGGTGGATCATTCTCAGCACTGGTGTGACACTGACGTGGTGGTGGTGTGTTAGTGTGTGTTGTGCTTGTACAAGTGGATCAGACACAGCAGTGCTGCTGGAGTTTTTTAAACTTCTGCCAACAGTGTCTTGGGACCACTGATGAAGGACTAGAGGATGACCAACACAAACTGTGCAGCAACAGATGAGCCACTGACTCTGAGGTACTGTCTTCTGTACATCTATAAGGTCGACCAACAACACACCACCACGTCAGTGTCACTGCAGTGCTGAGAATAATCCTCCACCCAAATAGTACCTGCTCTGTGAGGGTCCATGAGGGTCCTGACCATTGAAGAACAGGGTAAAAGGGGGCTAACAGAGTGTGCAGAGAAACAGATGGACTACAGTCTGTAACTGTAGAACTACAAAGTGCACCTGTATGGTGAGTGGAGTTCATAAAATGGACAATGCGTCTAGACACAAAGTTGTGCACTTAATTATTATACATTATTTTTAGCTGATTTCAACAGTGAAAGGAGGTGAGGAGAAATCGCAGTACATTCCTGATAAAGCTATCATTCAGTGAAATCAATTTATTCCTTTCCCTTACAATGTCAGCAACCACTTAAGTTCTATTTTAAATTACTTAATATCTTTTCACCTTGCATTAACTTGTGTTTCGTGTCCAGATTATATCTGAATAAACTTCGAACGGAATTCCATTTACACTTTTCACTAAAAAGCATTTCCAGTGTGACTAGATTAGATCTAATTGGACTTTTCCCACGTTAAACACACGCCAGCACAAACGTCATTTCCGTTTTACTTTTGTTTACTCTTATCCCTGTTACAAGACGAGTGGACAAGCTTGAGGTGATCCATTCAGAATCCGATCACAGCGCATCCTGGGGACGTTTACCCCTGGCTTTTAATGCTGTCAAGTGCAATCCGAACGTGATCTGATCACCAGAAATGCCTGTTAATGCAAGGTGTAAACAGGCCCATAGCTTCAGTGCGAAACTTAAAAAAGGCCTGGCTGATCGATTTATGGAAAGTTGATTTAAGTTATTTTTTTTCTTTAAACAATCGCTTTAAGATAAGGACATGTGCCGGTATTCTATGGTTATTAAACACGTATGATAACGTTACTGTAGACTCTCTAAAATGCCATCGGTGTAATTTAGTGAAAAAAATTTGCAGTTTCATCAGCTGTTTTTTAGATGCGCACTTCGCCAGATATGTTTTAGATCCCACTTTGATTTCACAACCTGATGAAATGAGGTGCTCCCTCCTTTAAGCGAATCAGACATGCAGGTAAACATTGACAGCACACAGTCATGGCACGACAGATGGAGGAGCCGTCTCAGAACGTTCTTCTCCATTAAAGAAAGTGAAAACTCCCATCCCACCCCACTAGAAAGAGCAAAAAGGCAGGATCTCACAAATACGTCTATAGGCCTGTTTATACCTTTCATCAACATGTGGTTTTCGGTGATTGGATCACATTTAGATTTCGCTTGAAAGCATGAAAAGCCAGGTGTAAACATCCCCAGGACGCATTGTGATTGCATTACTATTGGATCACTTATGAGAATGTCTAAGCCAGTGGTTCCCAGCGGACCACCTGGTGGTGCATATTTTTGCTTTAACCCAACTCACCAACACACAAGGATAAAGGAAAAATGTGGACCTTGCGGGAAACACTGGCAAGCAATGCTTGTTGACTTGTATCGTAAACAAAAGTAAAACAGATTACTATTGCTTTTGTTTGTTTGTTTTGTTTGTTTGTTCTAATACATTTTTTTTATTGCATTTTGTATGTTATTGACAATCTTCATCTCCAACCAGCCAAAGCCTCCACCAGCACCTGAGCCGCCAAAGTCTGTTTCCACAGCAACACCATCGTCCTCCTCTTCCACTCCCCCTGTTCCCTGTCCAGCAGCTATACCTTTCTTCTCTGATGAGGAAACATCACCATGTGACCCCCCTGCTACAGTCTCACCGACACACAGCCCGGAACAGTACGCACCTCACCATCACTACTGCTATTATACTTTCACTAATGACAAAAATAACAACTGACAGCATGTTCTTTATATTTAAAGTCTCTCTCTCTCTCTCTCTCTCTCTCTCTCTCTCTCTCTCTCTCTCTCTCTCTCTCTCTCTCTCTCTCAGTCCTGGTCTTGGTGAAGAAGAAGAGGATTCATCTTCAGTATTAGGTAATCACTTATTCTCTAAATAGATCTACAAGGGCAGAGCTAAAGGGGAAAAACATGGGTAAACCAAGTTGCATGTTAGTCTTATTAGAAACTCTGTTTTATATACACTATATCTAAAAGTGTGTAGACACCTTCTCATCAAACGTTTCTCCTGAAATCGAGGATATATGTATATATATAATATATAAGGAGTTCACAGCCCCTCCTTTGCTGCAGTAACAGCCTCTACTCTTCTGTAAAGGCTTTGCACTAGATGTTGGAGCATTGCTGTGAGGATTTGATTGCATTCAGCTGCAAAAGCTTTAGTGAGGTCAGTTACTGATGATGGATGATTAGTTGTGGATCACTGCAGCTCATTCCAAAGGTATTAGATGGCGCTCCATCATTCCAGAGAACACAGTTCCACTGCTGCACAGCCCAGTGCTGGGCTTTGTACCCCTCTAGCTGACGTGTGGTCCCATTCTTGTCCCATTCTTTTAGCAGTGCTTCTCTGTGGAGATTATACAAGCTGTGTGTGTGCAGTTGAACACCTGTTTCAACAATGGGTGAACCTTAAAGTAGCTAACCAGTAAAAGAAGCTTATAGACCACCAATCAGATGGGCTGTCTACTTTTGGACCTATAGTGTATATCAGTGTGTTTGATTCCAGACCATCTTTGTATGAGGAAAACTACTGGAATTTTGTGTGTGATTTTAAGCCTATTTTTATTGTCCGTGTGTTGCTTTGACAGATCCGGAGTACCAGTCTATGTTAACACAGATCATGTCTATGGGCTATGAGAAGGAGAGAGTGGTGGCCGCTCTGAGGGCCAGTTTCAATGACCCTAACCGCGCTGTGGAGTACCTACTTAATGTAAGGGATTTCTGCTCAAGCTTTCTTGCCAGCCTGCCCACACCATGCTGACATACAGAACCAAAGAGCTCTGTACATACATCACAGTGTATGATGTTACTCGTCTGAAAGCCACTGTACTTCTCATTTCAAGCAACTTCTCAAAAAAAACAAACAGCAAAAACAAACAAACAGACAAACACAGTGCTTGCTGTAGTACTGTTAAAGACATTAAAGCTGCCCTGTGCTATTCTGGTGTTGCTGGAGAGAATAATTACTATGCGAAATGTCATCACTAACAAGCATTAGAGCACTAATTGGCCAAAAAATGGCCTCTTGCCCCAGTTTCAGTAGAGCTTTCGAAAAACACACTTGACTCATTGTTCCACAGCTGTAACACCACCTGCTGGACAAGAGTACTATTGAGCTGTTTTAATCAAATAGTTCAGCTGAAAATGCTGACGTTGCCAGGAGTTAATGGACTTCAATAACCAACGATTAGCATGTTGTCATTTTCATATTGCTAACTAGTAGCTATTTATTCATCATTGGTAAATTTAGCATAAGTGATCAAAATACTGCTGTACATAAATTTATTACATCACCTACACATCATCAAAATAAGGGTTGAGCCCCACGCATTTCAGTAACAGGAGCCAGTAGCCACCGATTAATGTAGTATTCATTTGTGTAATGCTAAATGGTAACTCTTTGCTTTTATTCATCATTAGTGAAGCGACCATTCTTGGTCATACTACTGTTGTTTAGTTCCAAGATGTAATAAATGCCACTTTCATTAATTTTCTATTTTTTTCCATTATATACATTGCTGTGAGGGGGCTTTACATAAATGCTACATTATGATTAGTACAACCTTACAGATGGATATACAGCATTTTGTAATTGAACTCTTCACACACACATGCGTGTTTATGTATAAATTTTAGTAATAATAAATAAAGCAAATATGAATATTATATCACTGTAGACGTAATTACAGCCAGTAGTATGCCCCAGACAGTTGAGTCACTGTAGCATCGCAATGTTAGTCATGAACTTAATTGCATGCCTCAGTTCTATTCTGATACTTGGTTATATGTCCCTTTGGTTTAATGACAACCTTGTCATGCATCAGTCCTGTCAGGAAAGGACTACATCAGTCTCTTCAAATAGTTCCTGTCCATCTTATCCCACTTTTCCATGAGCTGGATGCACCTTTCAGTCACAGTTCCTGTGTGCCTGTTTCAGCACTTAATCTGCTGTTCCAAATGAAGAACTGGGATTGGGGTCTGGTGGCTTTGCTAGTCAGTCTGAGTGTCTCAGTATTCAATCATATCTGTTGGTCCAGTCACATATAGACACCTTACGCTTGTCATCCTGGAATGTGGGAGTGTCAGTGCTGTGTTCTGCTTAGATATGAAGCACAAAGTTAGTGAGAAACTGGACTCTAAAGGACAGGAACTCAAGAGACTGCTGTAATCTTTACCTGACAGAATTGGTGCTCTCGTTAAGGCAGTTTGAGAAGTGTTGGAGAAGAAAGGATGCATGTGACACATTTTTAGTCTGGGGAGCTTGTGCACTAGCTTGTTAAAAATGCTAGTTTCTGACTGTTAAAATGTGTTTTCGTAGGGTATTCCTACAGTCCCTGTGCAGGAGACCAGCCCTGCATCTGCCCGCATACCTGGCACAGACACACACTCAACTGAGGGTGAGTCTATCACAAACACATTGCTGTTTCACAGACTCTTCATTTCTTAAGCCATGCTGGGTCAACTCTTGGTGAATAGCTCTAATGTGTACAAATGTGGATTGTACAGAGATTGATAAATGATCCCTTACTGTGCCAGGGAGCCTTGATGTAAAGAAAAGTGAGTCAGGCATTTTCTGTTTTAAAGAGAACTGTATAGTTTTCATAATTTTGTGCAGATTTGCAGACTTTCAGACAGTTTAAGGTCACTTGAGGCTCTTGTTTTATTAAGAAAATGTAATTCAGTTAGAGTTTAAGTAAGAATCAAGTATACAATTTGAATAAACTATGTAAACACTGATAAAGATGTGTACTGTCAGTACACATCACCAGTCTGTACCAGTCTGTACAGTCCATGCATGAAGACTAAACTGCAAAAACAGCCGGTTTTGACTTCATTATGGGTGTGAGGAAGTAATGTGCAGTGCTGACAGACAGTCTGTTCCTGATTGTTAGGAACAGCCTTCCAGATACATTTCAGCCTGGACTGCATTTTGAACCAAGCACAATACAGGCCAGCCGATTAGTACAGAGATGTTTTACATATACCTGTCTTAAAGGCATGGTAACAAAACAGCCTGTTCAATGAAGTGAAGATGGAAAATTAAAAAAATGAGTGTTTGGTTCATAAACTGATGTACATACAGGTGGACGTCAAGGTAAAGAATTAACTCCAGGAAAATCTTTGACTATGAGTCCTTTTAAAATTTCACGTTGCTCTCCTCTGTCTACCTCTTTCTTCAGGAGAGAACCCTCTGGAGTTCTTGCGTTCTCAGCCACAGTTCCAGAACATGCGACATCTGGTCCAGCAGAACCCATCCTTACTGCCGTCGCTGCTGCAGCAGCTGGGCCGAGAGAACCCCGAGCTCCTGCAGGTTAACACATACACATTTCTAGACATGCTGATATTCAGTAATAAGGTAACACACGATGTTGTCACCATGGACACTTTGAACAAGTTGAAGACTTAACATGTATTAAAAACACACCGACTGGCCACTTCATTAAAACCACCTCCTTGTATCTACACTCATTCCCCAGTTTTATCAGCTCTGCTTACTATATAGGTGCACTTTGTAGTTCTACAGTTACAGACTGTAGTCCATCTGTTTCTCTGCATACTTTGTTAGCCACCCTTTTACCCTGTTCTTCAGCGGTCAGGAACCCCACAGGGCCACCACAGAACAGGTATTATTTGGGTGGTGGATCATTCTGATGTGGTGGTGGTGTGTTAGTGTGTGATCCACTCAGACCAGCACAGCAGTGCTGCTGAAGTTTTAAGCACTGTGTCCACTCACTGTCCACTCTATTAGACACTCCTACCTTGTTGGTCCACCTTGTAGATGTAAAGTCAGAGACAGTAGCTCATCTGTTGCTGCACAGTTTGTGTTGGTCATCCTCTAGTCCTTCATCAGTGGTCACAGGACGCTGCCCACAGACACAAAGCAGTGACACTCATACCAGCACAACACACTCTAACACACCACCACCACATCAGTTTTAATGCAGTGCTGAGAATTTTGTCGTTTTTCAGTTTTTGACATTCAAAATTGCCTGTTGCCCTTTACATTGTGTGTAAATTTCATGATGAATGGACCAAAAAAAATGTCTTGGAAAAAAAAACTGGTTCCATTGACTTACATTATAAGCAAAGTATGTTTCTATATGTATGTATGTGTGTGTGTGTGTGTGTGTATGTATGTATGTATGTATGTATGTGTGTATGTATGTATGTGTGTGTGTGTGTGTGTGTGTATGTGTGTGTGTGTATGTGTGTGTGTATGTGTGTGTGTGTGTGTATGTGTGTATGTGTGTGTGTGTATGTATGTATGTATGTATGTATAATTTGTATAATCCCCCACACACTTCTTCAAATAAGACTATTTTAGATGCTGAAGAAAACCTAAATCTGGGATGTCCCTTCACCTTTAAATAATCCCAAGTCTTTTGTCTCATGTGCATCCCATACAGTCATACCTTTGACTTTCATACCCTGCTGAAATTTGGAAAATATTAATTATTCACGCTTCAGTACCAGCTGGTCCGCAATTTGTTGGTTACACAAGGCCCCGAACATTTTATAAGCTCTGTGTTCACTTACTGTCCACTCTGTTGGACACTCCTACCAGTAAGAACAGTGGGAAAGAGGGCTAACAAAGTATGCAAAGACATAGATGCGCTACAGGACTAAACTGTGGACTAATTATAGAACAAAAAGCACCTATATAGTAAAATAAAAAATAAATAATGAGTGTAGAAACAAGGAGTGGTATGTAATGAAATGGCCGGTCAGTGTAGATAGGCAAAAATAAACAACAATTTTTAAATGTAGTCCATCAGCCAAGACGTTTTATGACGTTTGGTGCTTTAGTTTTGCAGTGGAGTGATGTGGCTAATTTAACTAACAAGTAGTGTAAACTTATACTCCATAACTTCGCATGTATGCTTAAATCATCACTCACTTACCTCAAACTGTGTAGAGTTAAAGGGGAATTCCACAAATGTTTAAAAAATTCTGAATAATTCAGTCTTTGAGATGTAAACAAAGTCATTCAGAGTGGATTGATGTGAAATTCTTCATGGTAGAGAAATTTACTGACTCTGATATCTTTACAGTGATGGTGACAGGAACCAGGGGTCATGATGTCTACAACACAAATATATGACTATAGTCATTTTTTTTACCATCCCAAACCACCAGTGAGCCTACATGCATCTTCTTAGGGGTTATATGTAATGTTGATAATGGTAAAATAGTCATAAGTCTGAACATAAAAAAAAAAAAAGTTTTCTGTTTTGCCTTACAAGGCCCTGCGTGTAGCCCTCCGCCATGAAAGGATTAAAATAAATGGATTAAAATACATTATAAACCAAAACTTTATCACAAAACTATCATAAAACAATGTCTCAGATATCAGGCAGCATATTCCCAACTATTTCATGTTGTAGCTTTTTGTGAGGGAGCTGTTAAAGACATTTAAAGGCATCTAGTTTCTATCACCACCACTGAACAATTCTGACTTGTTTCTTTAGAACATCAAACCAGTCTGAACCATTAAATTGTGTAGACGTTTTGTCAGCGAAGTTCCCCTTCAAGTACTGTTAAATAGACTTGCTCATGACACTTTATGAAATACTGTATGAAATACTGTATTCTTTATCAATGGGTAAAGTGTGTTTTATAGCTCAAAACAGCAGTTGCAACAATGTTGAAACTTGAAATTTGTTCATTTTCACATGTAACAGTATCTTATATTAGATTTTTGGTTTGGTGAATGTTTGTGTTTGTTGTTTACTGTTTTGCAGCAAATCAGACAACACCAGGAGCTGTTTATTCAGATGCTGAATGCACCGGCGGGGGAGGGGCCTGAGGGGGCTGAGCATGCTGACCTGGGAGCTATGGGAGATGAAGGAGCACCTGTGGATTACATCCAGGTTACAGCACAGGAGAAAGAGGCCATTGAGAGGGTGAGGAACTACACACTGTGTTTGAGTTTGTATTCATATACAGCGGGTGAAGCAAGTATTGAACATGCCACCAATTTTCTAAGGAAATATATTTCTAAAGGTGCTATTTACATGAATTTCTCACCAGATGTCGGTAACAACCCACCCATCCACACATGCAAAGAAATTAAACCATAGATGTCCATAAATTAAGTTATGTGTAATAATGAGAAATGACACAGGGAAAAAGTATTGAACACGCTTACTGAAATTTATTTAATACTTCACACAAACACTCTTCAAATACTCAAGGTTTCGTGGGCTCCTTCTGTGAACTCTGAGCTTTAGTTCCTTCCATAGATTTTCAATTGGATTCAGGTCAGGTGATTGGCTGGGCCATTCTAGCAGCTTTATTTTCTTTCTCTGAAACCAATTGAGTTTCCTTGGCTGTGTGTTTGGGATCATTGTCTTGCTGAAATGTCCACCCTCGTTTCATCTTCATCATCCTGGTAGACGGCAGCAGATTTTTATCAAGAATGTCTCGGATCATTTGTCCATTTATCCTTCCTTCAATTGTATGAAGCGTGCGAGTGCCGTATGCTGAAAAACAGCCCCACACCATAATGTTCCCACCTACAAGCTTCACTGTTGGTATGGTGTTTTTGGGGTGATATGCAGTGCCTTTTGACCTCCAAACATGGTGAGTATTATGGCATCCAAAGAGTTCAATTTTGGTCTGATCTGACCAGACTATTTTCTCCCAGTATTTCGCAGGCTTTTAGCAAACTTTAAACGCACTTCAACATGCTTTTTCTTCAGCAATGGAGTCTTGCGTGGTGAGCATGCATACAGGCCATGGTGACTGAGTGCATTACTTATTGTTTTCTTTGAAACCTGCTGATTCCAGGTCTTTCTGTAGCTCTCCACAAGTGGTCCTTGGCTCTTGGACAACTCTTCTGATAATTCTTTTCACTCCTCTGTCTGAAATCATGCGGGGAGCACCTGGTCGTGGCCGGTTTATGGTGAAACGATGTTCTTTCCACTTCTGGATTATGGCCCCAACAGTGCTCACTGGAACTTTCGGTAGTTTAGAAATTCTTCTGTAACCAATGCCATCAGTGCGTTTTGCAACAATAAGGTTGCGAAGGTCTTGAGAGAGCTCACTGGTTTTAACCCATCATGAGATGTTTCTTGTGTGGCATGTTAGTAATGAGACACCTTTTTATAGGCCTTCGGTTGAACCAGCTGATATTAATTTGCACTGAGTGGCAGGATTGCTTTCTAATTACTTATAGATTTCAGCTGGTGTTATGACTTTCCATGGCTTTTTGCACCTCTCTTTCTTTGTGTTCAATACTTTTTCCCCTGTGTCATTTCTCATTATTACACATAACATAATTTGTGGACATCTATGGTTGTGACATTTCTTTGCATGTGTGGACTGGATGGGTTGTTACCGACATCTGGTGAGAATTTCATGTAAATAGCACCTTTAGAAATATATTTACTTAGAAAATTGGTGACGTGTTCAATACGTATTTCACCCGCTGTGTGTTCACTCTAGTGTTCCTGGAAAAATACTGTGATATTATACAGATCTTGGATGTCAGAGCAAAACGTTGTATCTCCAAAATGAAAACTGTACAGAAGAAAGAAAAAAAAACTTGTAATGGAAGATAATCTAACAAGATATTAGCAAGCAAAGTCATTTTAAAGGATTTCTATCAGTTTATTCATTACAAAGTTTAACACAGGGAAAAGGATGACCGGACTTTTTCTTTTTGGTTGCTGATGTTAAAGTTAGGATTAGTGTTCGCCTTAAGAAAGAACATTCTTATTACACACGTGGATAAAAAATATAGAAAAGAAGAAGACCAAATGTTTCAGGTATTAATTTTGCAGAAATTTTAACGAGTTTTTACATTTCTTTTTCTTTTTACTTTGCTGCCCTCTCTTCTGTTCAATCCATCTCTCTGTATTTCTCTCTCCCTCCATCTCTTTCTCTTTCTCAGTTAAAAGCTCTGGGTTTCCCCGAGGCACTGGTGGTGCAGGCGTATTTCGCCTGTGAGAAGAACGAAAACCTGGCCGCAAACTTCCTGCTCAATCAGGATGAATGAGATGCACAAACCCGCCTCCCTCTTCAAAGCCATGCCCCTCCACCATCCTACACACAAGCGCTGTGTTCTCTTTAGACACCAGTTCTTGCCATTATTACATTCAGTTAGGGCAAATGAATAAAGCTGGGCAGGGCTGTACAAGGGAGTTATAGGGGGTTGGGTGAAAAAGGCACAAATTTCAATCAGTCCGACTGAATGAATGCACTCAAACATGTACGAGGCGTTTTATGTATGTGAGAGTGAGCGAGAGAGACTGAGAATGTGTGGAAAAGAACAAATGAAAGATTGTAAATGGGACGACGTTAAGAAAGTGCAGTAGGTAGTGTTGCTGGAAGATAATCTAGACTGTGTTTAGGGTTGGTACGAGTGTGTGTGAGTGTGAGTGTGAATTATCTTAATTTTTGTTTTTCTTTAAGTAAATATTAACTGTTAAGTACTGGTTAAAGCTACACTATGTAAGATTTTGAACCTTTTTCCAGGCACCTGTACTCTCAATTGAAGTAAATGACCATTTCAAAGAAACAGTCACTTAAAGTGATAATTCGCCAAAATAAAAATCTAATTTGCGCCCCCCCTCCCCCCACCCCAAATGTAAGTAGTCAAGACATGTTTAGTTGCAAAGCTAATGCAGCTAACAAGTAATGGAAACTTACAAGACTACCGCACTGTTAGCATCATGTAAACTGCATGCCTCCTTGTTTTTAGATAACAGTATGTCATAAATTGTGTACAAAAGCAGGAGATCGCTTAATCCAGGCATGTCATTTATACAGTATTAATTGGTGGTCTGTAAGCTTCTATTATTAGCTACATTAGCCTTGTAGCTCTTGTACAAAACTAAAAAAAAAGCATGTTTTGGCTGACTACATTTGAGGTAAGTGGAAAATGTGTACGTTTTATTTTTTGCTGAAACATTTCTTGAAGCAAAATGAAATATTGATTGTATATACATTTATACTGACTCACAGTTGTAGGCAAACGTTTGCCTTTAGTTAAATGACATTTTGTTCATGCATCCTCTACAGAGAACACACTTCAGCACATTTTATTACACAATGATTGTTTATTTGCTAAATATAACATATTGTGGGGAAAAAATCATAAAGTGTTGCCAGTGCAGAATGGCACATATTATAATTTTGTCCCTATTATGTTAAATTCAGCAAGCAAATAGAAAATGTGCACTAAAATTGGAAGGAAAAAGTTCATAATTAAGTTTATTCTCTGTAGAGGAGACAAAACATAATTTGACTGAAGGTATGCAAACTTTTGCATACCACTGTATGCAGCCCAGACTTTTAAGTATGAGTTTGAATGACAGTACACTCATAACTGCAAGTTGTGGTGTCCAACCTAAACGTCTAGCCTATATTTCATAAGGCCTGTATTGGGCTTAAGTGCAATACATAGAAACGCATGTCTTGTAGGACTTCTTCAATAATCTCCCTTAGTTTATCAATATTAAAGTAAACATTTCAAAAACACTATCGTTTTTCATTATAAACATTTCGGAATCTTACAGAGTTTATCTAAATAACGGATGTTAGGTTTATGCTGTGCTATTCTAAGATCTGCTCTTTTGAATGCCCAACCACACACACGCTCACATCAAACAGTGCAGTGGTCGTATCAATGCGCTAGGCCAAAGTAAGACGTGCTCCAAGCATTTCTAGGTGAAAACATTTCACTCAGCTCAGTCAGTAGAACGAGGAGGTTAGTTGAACCTAAAGTAACTGTCCAGCTTTCAACCTGATCTCTATCTGCTGCAACTGTAGCACACTGTCCAACCTCCAAACACTCCCATACTCTACACTCTCAGAACCTGGGAGCAGCAGGAGCAGTACCCCTCTTGTCACTGGGGTGGTAGCCTCAGTCAGGGAATATAACTGTACCATAATCCATTGTAATTATATTTTCTAAGTTGTATTGACTCCACACACCCCGTCTCGTCTCCAGGCTTTTTATTTCACTGCTTTGTTTTAAAACATTAGGATATGAAAAGATACAAATATGTACTTTTCACCTGGAAAAACTTATTTAAGGTGCACAACTGGACATTAAAACCACTGTTGTACCTTTTACATACATTTACATTGTTTGTACCTTAATGAACGAAAAATGTACCTGCACAGATCCTTTATTTCCAACAGTGTAGAAGCCATTGGGCAGTTGCTAAATTCTGTGGATAAACGTTTGAAATACTTTACATTCTGACAGAATGTCTTACTAAAGCTGTTCTTATGAGGTTTTAAACACTGGAGCAACACTAAAAGTTCTGGTTCACTTTCTCTGAGGTTCTCTGGTATCCATGGTGATTAAGTAGAAGCTGTGAAAATTTCACCCACATCACTACGCTTGTAACAAATTACTGTACATTCTTCCTTCTTGAAAACTAGTCCTGTCTGTAAAAAAACTTACACAATTTTGCAGCTTGTTTTACAAATACTTTTGACTGAATAATTAATGAAAGTGAATGTTACTGACACAATTCAGAAACTGCCCGTTGGCTTCTATTATAAATGAGTCTTGTGTCAATACATTTTCTATTATTTTCTAAGCACGGAGAAGTTATCATCCGTAGTAATCTTCTGAAGGGTACAGGATGCAGCAGACTGAGATTAGATTGAAAAATGCTAGGATATTCCTTTAAGAAAGGTACTTGATTAAGGTTTAGTGATGCATTATAAACTGCTACTCATATTATAGGACACAGGTATTTGAAGGGCTGAAGCAAACTGAGATTGAGAGCGTATAATGGTGCTGGGCTGAAAGGAAAGGACAATTTAGAGTGTGGGAGCAATGCATAGAAGATTTATGTATCTTTTCTTTGGTATGTTTGGGATCAGTTTACACATAATATAGAATGTACAGATTGTAAATGAATACTCCAGTGTTTTTAACCTAATTTCTATTAACAGCATCTGTACTCCTGTTTAAATTCTATGTTTTGTTGATTTTATAAGTGAAAATAAGTGAACACGTCCTCTACAGAGAGCACACCTCTACATACTTTAAAGCACAATTACAGTTAATTTGAAGAGTTTAACATACATTTGGGGGGACATAAAATGTGGCAAATGTGCAAAAGTTACAGCACATTTTTTTATGTTAATTTTTTTTCCAATGTACCAGACTGAGCTTTTGAAATTGTGCACTAATATTTGCAGAAAAATGTCATATTTAAGTGTGTTCTCTGTAGAGGTTGTGTTCACTTATTTTCATCTAGATCAGGGCTGTCAAACTCAACCACTAAAAGGGCCGTATTAAAAAAAAACTCTCAGCAAATCCGTGAGCCAGCTGTGTTTTTATTTCATTTTTACGTAACTTTTTGCCATGACCCCAACATCGTTTATTCAAAATATGCCAAAACTGCAACAGCAAAATAGGCATTAAATACCTATTCAAAATAATTCTCAATAAAAATAAATTTTTTGGTAGTTTTTTTAAAACTGCCTATTTGCTTGAACTAGACAGCAGGCATCTTTTCTTTATGTGTAACTGCTGGCCCATAGATTGTTGCTGGGGGGTCAGAACACACACTGTGCTGCAGTGCATGCTGGGGACTGTAGTGCGTCTCAGGGTGAAACAGGCTACTAAAAATAGAGAATTAAAATAATTTTGTGTGCCGAATAGTACCGTGTCACGGGCCTGGCTCGGCCCGTGAGCCTTGTGTTTGACACGTGGGGTCTAGAAAATCAACAAAACGTCATTTGACCAAGACAGAAGCCTGAGGGCAGGTGCTGAACCTGAACCCACTGTTATAAAGGTTTCTCTTATAACTGTGTTTAAAATCAACTGGTTTTCTTTTCTAAGTCCAAGGAAAATATTGCCTGTGGTAACTGATGGTACAATACCGATGTCGACGGTATGAATTGGGTTGAAAAACATTGGAGCATTTCTTTAAATGATGAAATTTGAAGTCAAAGGTATTTTCAGGCAGATTAAAGGCTCAGTCAGGAGTCTCCTACTATTATTAAGAATAATTTTATTTTTATTATTATTGCTTTTTTTTTGAATGGCAACAAAGTACGTAACCCCAAGCTTAGGATTGTCTGTGTGGTTTGCTAATGTTGGTCACTTTAGATAACGGCATCAACAAAATGTACAGACCATGTATAGGAAACACTACGTGATCATGCTGTCCTGGTTTGTCAGTTCCTGATTGGGCCTTTAAGATCAGTATTAGACTAAAAAATACTTTATGCTCTTAAAAATAAAGGTTTCTAAATGACTCCCTGAATACCCCTTTCAGTGGACGGCTCTGCTTTTGTAAATGAGATGTGCGAGTGTGAAGAAGCTTTTCGTAAAGATTGAAAGGACATTGAGGGAACCAGAAGTGGTTATTTCATGGCTCTGTTCCAAAGAACCCATTTTGACACCCTTTTTTCAGAGTGTGCAGGAAGAATGTCAACTGTAAAAGTAATTTATAACTGGATTCATCAGGAAAAGAATCATATATGTGCGTCCGATTTAGCATTTTTGGGTTGGGGTGGGGGGTGTTTAGGTCTTGCTTGCTTGGCAAACAGCAGCTGTTACTAAATCATTATCTATTTTAATTTAGATATTTTGTGCAAAGATTTTAAAACCCTGTCAGTTTTATAAACGAAGTGTATATACCTGTGCTAAGCTAATCCGTGGGGTTTTTTTTGGTTTGTGCCGAGATTGAAGAATAAATGACCGAGTCTTACTGCTATCCTGGTGTAGTGTAGTGTGTTTTATGGCTACATTTATGGTTTGGTTCCAAAACATCATTACTAACAGTACAATCCACATAATAAAAAGTCACCAACTCAATATAAGATCTAGATATATTGGTTACAACATACTTACCATTCAGATATGTGAAGTGATGGAGCTCAATGAGTCCAGAGAACACAGTTGTACTGCTCCACAGTCCAACGCTTGGGGGCTTTATACCCGTCTAGCAGACGCTTGACATTGAGCGTGTTGCCATAGTGCTTGTGTATGGCTGCTCCAGAGCATCTCATTCTATGGGCAGTGCTTTTCTATGAATACTATACAAGCTGTAGGTGCACAATTGAACTCCTGTGTCACCTTAAAATGCACTTTTATGATGTATAGTGATTTATAATTGCGATATACTGTCCAATATATTGGAAACACTTTAGTGAATCCTTTAGTGACTATGACTATGGTTTGGCCTGCGGTATTTTTGACCAAAATTATTTTTTGGGATAATGGGACAAAGTAACAAGCCTGAATATGCCTAAAGGGGACATTACTAGCAGCCCTCATTGGGCTGTGCGCTTAAAGCAGGGGTTTCCAATCTTACCAACAAAGGGCTGGTGTGGCTGCAGGTTTTCCCTCAAAACAAGCTGGATCACACCTGATTCCCCTTGTTTAATCAGTTGGTTTCAGTCTTCAAGCTGCTGATCAGGTGATCTCCTGCTTTGTTGGAATAAAAACCTGCGGCCACATCGGTCCTTTGTGGAGAATATTGGACACCCCTGGTTTAAAGGAACAGTTCAATCAAAAACTAATGCTGCTAACAATAAATGAACACGGATAATGTCCAGTTAGCACTATGCAAATAGGCCGATGCTCATGGATATTCCTTTACAAAGCAACTGTACCTAATTATTCTCTCACCAGAGAAAAGAAAGCACACTTTTTATCCATTTCACTGTAATACATGACATCTCCAGGCCTGGAAACTAAGATTTAAAAATTCAACTACTTCACCAAGTTTGGCCTGTGGCACTAAATAACCCTTTCTCTGCATTTAACCCCCACATTCAGCAGTGCCACTGCAAATATCAAAGTAATATGAGAGAAATTGCTGCAACATCCCATATTCCATTTACCTTCTGCTGTACATAAAGCAGTCATTGTTTTGGAAGAGGAAAAAAGCAGGCAGGTACATTTGTACAGTCAAGAACATCATTTATTCAACCAGTTGCTGCTCTTTACAAACTGTTTTTTTTTCTTTATAATGGAAAAGAATCTGTAGTTAACACATGCACATTTGCCAGTGGGCTCTGAGGGGCCGCTAGCTGAAATTGGAGCTTTTATAGTATGTGCAGAACACCGGGGGTCCACTAAGGGGTGCTAATACTACACCAAACACATCCGCAATATGAGATGGTGTACAAATCTGTATGTAGAGCTACTACTCCTAGCCTAAGGCTCTGCAGCTCAGAAACTTACGGAAGCAAAACAAACAATTTTTTAAATTAAAAACAGACAGATCTCACGAGGCAGTAAGATGCAGCTTTTTTGAAAGCTTAGGGATGAACTTATGCAAGTATAGGGCTTGTTTTTTTAACTATTCATGTCAAAATATATGTAAAAAAGAGGCTCCCATGTTCCGCACTATTAATACTGACACTGATTTGAGTGAATGTGACTGAAATGTGAGAAACACCAGCCTATGTAGTTTAGCTTTTTTAAAACTAACAAAAATACCCATTTGTAGGATTCTGAAGTGTTTTCTGCCTCATGTTCATCGGTCTGTCGATAAGGTGCTTGTAGCAAGTCATCAATCAACGGTTTCGTAAAAGTAGCCTGGCTGTTCCACAATAGAAAGGTGCTTTGTGTAAAGTTTTAAGGTCCAGTCTTCTCTTGGAGAGAACCTTCTGGACCATACCCTGATAGAAAAGCATCAAAGCAATTTCAAATAAAGTACAAAATTTTAAGTACAAACAAATAAATTAGAAAAAAAAGTTTAATTTAAATACTCGAGCTGCATAATATCGCCCCGGTATCCTGCACTTACTGCAAAGCCACTGGTGTCGAAATAATTACTTTCTAAAATAAAATCTTGCTCCTGTTCATCAACCCACCACAAGCTATTATCCCAAGGCAATAAAACATCAACAACAAAAATTGCAACCTATTAAAAAAGAGACATTTCCAACTATGATGGCATAGGTTGCCCCTATAAATGACTGACCTGAGATCAGTTTAGCTGACCCTAGATCAGTCCAAATGAGCAACCTTTACCTAGAGCTGACCCCACAAAGCCCAAATGGCCACATTTCACTTACACTAGCAGTACAATGGAGAAGAAGCTGTAGAATGGGAGAGATCGGTATGGCATAACAATAAGAAGCGTACAGACACGGGGGGATACTTCGCTGTGGAGGAGAAAATAAAAGGGTTCTGCATCTCTTTTTTTCTTCTTTTTTTTAAACCCTTCTATCAAAAGTAAGGGAGTAAAGTGGCGAGGGTGGGTGTAGGACGGGGTAAAGAAGACGGACAACTTTTTACGACTCCTCCAAAAACGCAAATAGAGACAGAGAGAGAGAGAGGGAGGGGGAGAGAGAGACACTGTGGAAACACAGAAAGAAGAAGAAGCTTTTTTTTTTTGCCTTTACATTTTTTTTTCAGTACAATAAAAAGAACTAAATCACATCCATTTCCTGTATTACTATATACTATATATATATACGGCTTCGAAAAGCCTGAAAAAAAAGGGACAGGGAAAGGTGAAGGGGGGATTTTTTTTTCTCATTTTAAGAACTGGGAGTTTCCATGTTTTACAAGATGAGAGTCTGTGAACAAAAGGCACTTTGAAGGGAACAACCTTTAAATGCTTGCGTACTACTAACACTACGTCACAATCACTATGAAGGGTCATTTACAAAGGGGAAGTGTTCATGTGGTGCGGCGGGGGGAGTGGGGACGGTCCCCCAATCTGAGTGTCACTCTTCAACATGATTCGCTCTCCGGAACATTCCTTCTCCTTCAAAAACCCGTCTGCGTGGTGAATAATTGCCTAAAAGCTACAAAAACTTCTACAAATACTGAGCTCACGGTACGACATCTCTCGAATCATCACCAAGGCAACATGCATTGCTTATTAAGTACTTTTTCCTAAATTTACAGTGAACATTATGATGTTACCCTGACAAATTGCCAGCTTTGAGATGATTTTGATGATCTGGAACTTATGAAAATTCAAAAATATGGACATCGGAAAATCAAAACTGCATGTATTCTCTGTTCTAAACCAGTTATATTGATTGAATTTTAAATCATGACATTTTTAATGTTAAATTAAACTTCAGGAATTCTTGAATTCTTAAAGGTTGAAGTAAAATGCCTTTTGTCACAACCTAGAAAAGTATGAACCCCTCCCCCACTGAGTACAAAAAGAGAAATGTCGTATTTCTTAAAATGTGATTGAAGAGAAACAGTCTGTTTTAGTATCATTCTCATACGGTAGACTGAACGCACTTTCATATATACGAAGCAAGCACCAGGTTCATATCATAATACATATCTGTTTTGACATTTTTGTAAAATTGTTCCTTTCACCCACCCTCCCCAATAGGTAAAAACAAAATAAACAAAACAAAAAAAAACAAACAAATTAAACATTAAAAAAAGGTAAATGGAAAATAAAAATAAAATTCCCCCAAAATGTACAAAGATTGAGATACTACTCATGGCCCTCGAGTTTAGAGTCCAGGACGAGTGGACTTTAGGAAAAAGAAAAAAAAAAAGACTGCTTTCTTAAAATTCTCAAATTCTCAATTACCAACACATTGCACACGGCTCAGTCCACAAACACCACCTTCTTTACCATTATCATGAATACTATACTTTCCCAACAAAGAAAACCAATGATTTAGTCGTTTGACCTGTCCATGCTCCGCCCACAAATATGCTCTTTCATAGCTGCAAGATTGGATACGTTTTACAAAACTCTGACAAAAATCCAGTTCAACCCAATGAGACAACGTAGTGCACAACTCAGTTTTAGTTTAGTTACTTTTTTACCTTGTTAGTTCATCTCTCAGGTCATATTTAGGCAAAACTCTTGTTCTCTCATAATCTTTAATCACAGCTTTGTGACTTTTTATCACCAGGAAAAATAATATTAACCAATAAGATCAGGTTTCACCTCCCCCTCCCTTCACCCCTATCATTCTGTGAGTTCAGATTATGCCTTTAACATGGTGGTGGTAGTATGAGGGAGGACTGATTGAGGGAGGGGGAGAACTATGAGAACTTGGGCTGGAGTTCTGCCTTATGCCTGTAGCTAGAAGGCCAGACCCCCCTCATAGCTGTAGTAGGACTCATGCACGACCGAGGAACAGGGGGGAGATGGGGTGGTAGGGATTGCGAACCCTTCATCATGGGAACGGAAGGTGAGGATGTGAATTTATAGGGTCTTAGGTTGAAAGAAGGAGGGGTTTCAGCCACGATCCTCCCCCCAATCTTCAGCTATAACATAAGTACATTGACAGAAAGCACTCAGGAAACCCTCCCTGGTAAGTTTCATTTGGGAGTACATCATGGCATGTAACAAATATGCATTAGTATTTCTGATCTGCATTTATTTTACATTTCCAGTTTAAAATGCTGCACTACCAAGCTGGGCTATGTTGTTGCTAATCGAAACTATGTGGGTTGCTTTGCAAATAACAACTACCATGCTAACTACACCCGATCTATCCTTACTGTGACCTTTGACATGCACATAAAATAAATATCATCTGACACTGATAATGCACTCTGTGTAAAGTTGTGTCCTACAGATTCGCATTGAATTCAATGGAATTTTTGTCCACATTCAGTAAATCTGCTCACCTTGGCGACAGTTGCTATGAAGAAACACATTTGTGGGCAGCGCATGGACTAATTCACTTGTCTGTTGATGGTGTTTTGTATCGTTTCATCTACAGGCCTGGACCAGGAGTGATAACTCACACTATGATGATGATGTTGTGGGTTGGATGATGATTTTCTTTTTGACCTGGAGGACAATGTGAGATGACATCACTGACTGGGAAAAATGTCAAAAAATAACTAGACTGCCATATTTCATAGAAGAGCTACTATACATATTTCCATATATATACAGCATGTACGAGCATGATATTAAGTCTGGATAATATATATATTTATAAATTGCGATGTTTCCAGTCTCCTATGTTCTGGTTCTTGCTAAGCCATGATACATTATAGTACATTAATTCTGTAGCTTATACACAGAGTACACACCCTGAAATCAATGCCAGATAGGTTGCATATAGAGGGGGGGGGGTACAGAGGCACTTTGACGCATGGTGGGTAATTAGAATTTTACTGAGCTGCGTGGAAGAGCCAAAGAGGGGGAGGGGCTTTGAGCTGGTCTCAGCCAATGAGAATCCCTGACATGTGACTGACAGCCAGGCAGTCCAGTTATTTTGTGATAGCAGTGGTTTTGAGTGCATATATGTAGTGTTTACGCCTAGGGCTGTCACAATTACCATTAAAATGTACCTTCTCGATGGATCAGCATATACAGCGTACACATATAGATACAATTCGATACGAATATCGCCGCTGTCGGAACAATTTTTCAGTTTCTTACATAATTTGAAAATGCCTGTTGTTCTTTACATTGTGTGTAAATTTCACGATGAATGGCCCAAAGGAAACGGCCCAAAATTACTTGGAAAAAAGTCTGGTTCCATTAATTTACATTAAAAGTAAAGTATGTTTTTTCCTTCTCCTGTAAAGTTACCGTTTTGGAGATGCAAGGTTTTGTTCCAACAATGGTGATATATTTTTCTTAATCTTAAATATAAATACAAATAGTGAAAAGATGCTTATGAATGAAACTTCTACAAAAATTTAAATTGTATTTCATTTAACATTGAAAACAAGTGGTTTTCAGTGACAACAGGGTCTCAGCATGTGTGTATCTTCTTAATTTCAGGAGGCTCCTCATGAAGCTGTTCAAGAGAATGGTCAATAGGGCCTGAAACTACATCTAGACAAAAAGATGGCAAAAGTCAAAAGTTTTGATGTCTGATTATTTTAAATTGTGAAAAAATACTAAAAATGAGGAAACCTTCTATTGGTAGGCATGTCCAAACGTTTGAGTGGTGTATATACCGCTGTTGTCGGAACAAAACCTTGTATCTCCAAAATGGTAACTTTACAGGAGAAGGAAAAAACATACTTTACTTTTAATGTAAGTCAATGGAACCAGAACCAATTTCAGGGCATTTCTTTTGGTCCATTCATCATGAATTTTTGACATAATGTAAAGGGCAACAGGCATTGTTGAATTATGTTAAAAACTGAAAATTGATGAAAATGGAGATAGGAGGTTTTATTCAGACAGCAGCGATACCTTCTTAAAGGCTTCCTAGTTTGTCGTTTTTACCCAATTAATCATTAAGGTAATCTGTAAATTACTCAAATACTAAAAATTCAATTGTGACAGCCCTAGTTCAGAGTGTATGTAGTGTATTGCTGGATTATGACACTAATGCTGTTATTGGTTTGTTCATGTTCAGATTAAATAAAAATAAAAGTCATAAGTGGAATAGCATCAGCCAAACTGAATGAAAGGCTTCCCTTTGTTAGTTTTAAGGGTTTTAATTGTATATCATAGTGCAATCCGAAAGTGTGTGCTTTCGTGTTTGTGTGTGTGTGTGTGTGTGTGCGTATGCTCCATTGAGAATGATCTGTGATGCTCACACCACGATTACTGGCGGTGTAATGCAGGACGTTATGGATTAAACTGGCAGCTGTTGAATGATGAAATTAAACACAGAAACAGAGCGTGCAGGAAGTGATGTCAGCGAGATGAAGAGCAACCTCCTTCTTGGACAGGGAGTGAGCACTGAGGATGAAAGCGACCGGAGGGCAGGGTATGATATAGTACTGATGAAGGAGGCTGTCACTATGGCAACAACCCTAAACCATGAAATCACAAGAGAGATGTTGATATTATCCAGCTGTTATGGTTTTGAAAAATGAAGTCATCCTAAAATATTTGTTATTGTTAACTGGGACAGGAAATGTAAGCAAACCCAAAGTAAACTCGCATGCAGTTAATTCTGTAGCCAAAAATAAACCAAGACAACACAAAATGAAACTGGTCAAAACTAAACCAAAAAGACAATGAGAGAAAACAAAACAAAACCAACTGCAAAACAAAAGAAAAACCCAGAAGAATATCAGCAGAGAGAGACTTTTTTTCTGAACTTCTGACTAAAGTTTAGACACTGAAATGGTAGCACTGAAACTGAAGGACGGTAGTACATACTTTAATGGCACGTGTCATTAACCCTTCATGAACGCAGCATAAGAGCGGCATGCATAAGGCTACACAACACCTAGAAATCTGACGAAAACCTACATAAACACTTAAAAAGGCTTATTTCAACAAATTTCTGAGGTGAAATAACATCAGCATTGACAAAAGCAGCCTTTATAAATGTTTACAGAGGATTATGTCAGTTGCCATTACAGGCTTATGTAACTGTAATGTAGCCCTACAAATGCTGCCTTCAGGTGTTAACAAAACTCTTATCCAATGTTATAATTCTGCCACAGCATTATAACTACCATGGCTGGTTACACCAGTAGCATTCATGCATCCATAAAGGCCTTACAACACGTTTATTTTTTACAACATAATTATTTTATCCATCACTGTCTTCGGTCTATTGCTAATATCGATATTACTGTGATTAGCTAATAATGAAAAACTTGATTGTAGATGGTCAGTTGCATGTTGTAGAGGTGGGAAATATGGCGTTATTTTACTGTATCGTGATGTGTTTTTTCTGAGAATACTGTGGATATTATCAATACGTAAAGCATAATAAATCTTGTTTAACTGAATTAAGTGCAGCACAGTGTGTAAAAATCTGACCAAAAATTATTGTTCTTAGTTTTTGACAGTAATGTTGAAATGTGGCAGTACTGAGGCTTCAGAAAAACCAAATGTAATGATTTGTGTTGTATTGTGACGATGTGTACAAGTATTGTGATGTTATATTTGTGCTATATTGCCCACCCCTAATTTCTTTTGTTTGTTTTTTGTATTGCTAGGAAAGACGCATTTTTGTGCATTCTGTGTGTGTGTATGTGAGTGTATAAGAGTGAGAAAGGGTGCCAAGGCGACCCTATTGTGCTGCGACAGCCTGCTTGCCAAAAAAAATAACAAAAGAAAAAAACAAAACAAAGAAGTTTTATCACAAAGCTAGCTCGCCCTGCTGCCAGTACTGATCACAGTATTTAAGCCCCCACACAAAAGTCATCCCTTATCAAATCTCATTTTGAATAGTGCATACGTGTACAGGGTAAACTGCACATCAAATGTTGCGTCCCTGTCAGTCAGTCACTATGTGACAAGAAATCAGTCACAGAAATTTCTTGTGCATGTCAAACATATTTGAATAGCACCCCCCACTGGAAGCTGGCCAACTGGAAGCAAGCCAATCAGACCAGTGCATTTCTCGTCCAATCAGATGCATGGGTGTGGCCATGCTCAAACCACTGGCTTAAGGGTGAAGCACGGCTGAACGGTGTAGATGGTCGATGCGGATAATGAAGATGACGTCATGCAGGCGGAATTAAATCATCCAGGTAATTCGTCCTTTAACGTATTTTTCATTGGACAGAAAGTACAGCAATTATTAAATCTCAACCAATCAGCTAAAACTGTGGCTGAGTGAAAACGGAATCTCTTGGCCATGCTGCGTGATTGGTGGATGATTGAAAACAAGAAAAATGACGGATGAAAAAAAAAGGGATTGGTCAATATTCAGGTTGCCTTGGTAACATTATAAAGACTTAGTGAGATGTCTCTTTTTTCATCCTGAATGGAATCAAGTCTTTTTTTTTGTTTGTTTGTTTTATTCAAAACAGTTTTCCGGTTTTCCGAACATCATCCATTCCATGCTGTCTGTGTCACTGTTATCTGGTTTGTTTTATTTTTTCTTACCAGATTTGCAGAATCATGCAGACGTCTTCCAGGTTTTTGAAGAATCGTGTGGAAGTTTTTCAGGCTTTTTGGATAATCTTGTGGAAGTTTTCCAGGCTTTTTGTAGATGTGGAAGTTTTTCAGGTATGAAGAATCATTTGGAAGGTTTCTGGATTCCTCATTACAGGGCTCATGTTGAAGGTTTCAGGGTGCTTGCAGGTTTAAGTCAATTGGGGTGTGTGATATGCTAATTGCAGTCCATACCTAGCTTTGTGTTTCCCGTTTCGGCTACAGACCTCACGTCTGTGTGTTTCAGAAGGATCTTGTCAAAGGAACCAAGACTGTAAAACAGCGAACACGAAAGAAAAATCATTATTTAATGACCTTTAATTAAATCATTAAAAAAGACTGCATTTGCATGAAATGTATACATTATTTCCACCTGAATAAAATTACGCAACTGCTCTTTCAATTCACACAGTTTTAGCAATGTGTATTGATGTAATATATTTTATTAGTGCTAAAAGGGTGTACACATCTAATTCAACTAAATTTAAAGCACATTTTTGTAGTGCAAAAAACATCCAATTGCACCGAAAATGATTATTTAATAAAACATAGATAATAGAATTTCAAAAGCATTCACAGAAATTATGAATAATGAATTTAAATTGATAACTAATAATAGGAAGTGTATCAAAAGCCAAGTGCCAAGAAGATCACAAATACAAATCAGTGTGAATGCAAAACAAAAACGCATCTTTTAAATACCTCACATTTTTTCTAATGTGCTAAAATACAACAAACATATTTTTTCTCAGTCAAATTCAGGTATAATTCAGAGGTCAGAAATCAGTCCTATCCTACTCTGTTCCACAGCAAAATTCCAGCAAAGCCAGATGTCCTTCACAGTATTCTCAGCAGGTGGAATTCGAGACTACTATAATGTGGCAATATGGATGCAAAGAACTACAGTGCTTCCTGTTAGGAATACAAGCAACACATGCCTCCAGATGACATACAACTCAGTTATGAGGTCACTTGTACCATTAGAATTTGCTTTAAAACACCAATGAGTGGCGCTAAAGATGCTGTATTATACAAATTACACTGATTTATTAGAACATCACTTGCTATGTGTAAAGGTTTGTAGAGGGATTTAAATTAAACCTCTGCCATCACTGCAACAGTTTTGTTCCTCAAGCAGTCAGGTTTTTAAACTCACAAGGACTGAACTGAATACGCCATCACACACATACTCTACACTCACATAAACACTCCTCTTTTGATGCTCTACTTGCACTATCATTGCTGCTAAGACTGTGTTTACACTTTGTTTACTCTAGTACTGTGTATATCCTACCCCAGTAACTGCTGTGCTCACTTATGTTATCTGACTGTGTTTACTCACAGATCACAGCATGTTAAATATCTTTGCACCTTATTCCACTACCTCATGTCCAGAAATGTGTCGGCGCTACACTGTCCTGCCTGTTTACTGCGTCTAATGTCTGTTTTATTTATCGTATTTATTGTATTGTTTCTAGGTTAAATTTTTGCACACTTAAGTCTGCATGTTTGCACTTTGTACTGTCTATTTTGTTCCTTGTTGCACCTTGTTGTTCCCAAAGGAACGTAAGTTCACTCCACTGTGTACTTGTACATAGATGGAATGACAATAAAAGCCTCTTGACTTGACTTGACTTGTCTTGAACATTGTTGTGAAGATTTGATTGCCACACGAGCATTAGTGAGGTCAGGTACTGATGTTGGATGATTAGCTATGGATCACTACAACTTCACAGCCCAGTGCTGGGGGTCTTTATAACCCTTCAGCTTGCTTGGCATAGGACATGGTGACCTTACGTTCATGTGCGGCTGTTCCAGAGTGTCTGATTCTGTTTGCAATGCTTTTCTATGGAGATTATACTAGCTGTGTGTGCACAATTGAATGCCTGTGTCAGTAATGGGTGCACCTTAGAGTAGCTGAACTCACTAATTAGAAAGAGGTGTCTAGTACTTTCAGATGTATTGTTTATATTTAGATCTTTACATTTCTATGTTTGCTTAAGCATTGCAAAGTAGACAAAAGAAGTTGTTGCTTGCTGGCTATGAGCAAAAAAAACAAACAAACAAAATAACAAAACACTAAGTTTTGTGGAAAGTTTGTAACTCTGCAGGGACTGACTTGCTTTTTGGCAGATCTATATTACTCAGATAAAGTTTGTGCTGGCTAGTAGTCTCTCTCTCTCTCTTTCTCTCTCTCTCTAATCCTTGGCAGTGTCCAGTCCTTTTTTCTTACACTTGCTCCCCACCAAGTTCATGTTCAACTGCCTATGACATCATGTCTGGTTGCTGGGGGCAACCAGACATTCGAGACGTGACTCTCTATGTCTCTCTCTCTCGTTTTTCGTTCAACAGTTCTTTTGCTCCCCACTTTCCCTTCTTTTCCGTGTCTGCCTCTTTCTAACAGGCCCGGAAAATGTGACAACTTTAAATTCTCCGGTACTTGTCAGTGAGCGTCCAACTGGTTAGGAAAAAGCTCTGAGACAGTTTGTTTTTAAATATATATTTTATCAAAGTATCCAGATGTTAATTCCTAAATATCAACTTGAATCAACAGGTATGTACTGCTCCCTGAAAGAAGTGTTGCACCGAATTGACAAGATTTAAATGTGTACATCAATTCCACATGAATAAACTACATTACATAAACACAATTACTGCCAAACAAAAGTAACTGAAATACAAAAGTGTGTTGATATATTTTATTCATGTGGGAATGATGTGCACATTATAAGTCCAGTAAATTCAGTGCATCCCTTTTTTCAGTGCAGAGAAATACAGAAACAGACAGAGATTGCCTCCATGTGCTGTGGATTTATCGTTTAGCTAACTGGTGGCTCTTGTGGTTTTTCCCCTAATGAAAGACGTGCAGTGGGTAAGCACTCGGCAGCTGTGGGCCAGGCTGCATCCCAAATTCACACAAGGAGCATCCCTAACCAAACGCCCCGAGGGCCTGCTCGCTACACGCCAACATCTGGCTTTTAACACACCACTGCATTAACCACATCCAAGCAAAAGCACACAAGCAGCCAATTTAGACACAACACAGTCAAACCCATCACAGAAAAAAATACTTCACTTCAAGTTACAGCTGTCACATTTAGTAGGTTTAAAAAAATAAACAATTAAAATGTACCTTCTGGTTAAATCAGCAGTGATTAGCTGGCAGTTTACATTACAATGATGCATATTTTAAACCCATCTACTGCTCTCTCTTATGGTAAGAAGCCTGATAAATAAACCCCTTTATGATAAGTCCTTTAAATGGGTTCCTAGTTTATCTTCTTTTTCCAAAAAAGTGTTATGAAATATTTAAACGCCTACGCATGGTTTGTAAAGTCCGCGTCTATTGTTTGTTCTTTTTTAAAACTCTGTTTACTCAATAATTTGTAACAATAATCAGTAAATTACTTGAGTACTGATATAATCAATAATGCACGTTCAGAAGAAACGCTGAATCAACAGGTGCCTATAAATGTCTACTTGGACACAGAGCTTCTGTAAAGTTGTTATGTAATGTTACATCAAATTTATATAGACCCAAAGCTTAATGTTGCTCAGAGGCACTGATTGATGATCACTACAGAAAAAAACATTAGCTTTTGTATTCACTAAGTATGAGGGAAAGTCTACAAGTGGATTCCTACTGGGTTTCCAGGCGATACTGATGCCTTTGCATGAAGCTTGAAACCTAGCTGAATACAGTTTACTGCAGTGCTACTGATTGGAAAACTCAGGAAATTACCACTTTTGAATAACAGTTCCAGTTTCTGAGAAAATACACACCAAAACACTAACTAAACTAACTAAAACTGAAACTAAATGAAAACTAATCTAGAACTATTTTTGGAATACAAAAACAAAACAAGCTATTAAAAACAAGCTATTTAAAATAAAATAAAAAAATAACTAACAAACTAAACTGAAACTAAAAATGTGAAACTGTTTGAAAAAACCTGTGAAAAAGTTATGGCACATTTTATATTTTATGTATTATTTTCCAAAATGTTTGACTCAGCAATGCCACATTAAAGTTTCTTTCCTGTAGAAGATGTGTTAACTTATTTTCACTTCAACAAAACCTGTAATCTGACTGGGGATATTCATACTTTTGCTTATGACTGTACACTATCTCTCTCTCATACACACCCACACACCATTATCTTTTCTACTCATCTCATTGCTTACCTTTGTTGTATGGCACATTTTATATTTTGTGTTGTATTTTTTGCCAATATATTAAATGCAAATAAAAGAAAATAAATTAAAGTTGTGCACTAAAATGCCGTATTTAAGTTGTGTTCCCTGCAGAGGATGTATTAACTTATTTTCACTTAGTAAATCAACAAAGCATATAAGTTGACATGGGGGTGTTTAAACTTTTGCATACAACTGTACAACTGTATTAATACATGCTGCCTCCTGCCCAATGACTACTGGGATATTTCCAGCACCCCTTGTGACCCAGGAGGATAAGTGGCTTAGAAAATGTGTGTGCGTATTAATGCGCTCTTTAAGCGAACTGAAATGAAACTGAGGTTGAAAACTTAATTACTAATAAAAAATGAATTAAAATTCAAAATCTGCAATAACCCTGATGTTTATGTGTGTGTGTGTGTGTGTGTGTGCGCACATATATACACACCTGTGTCTGCTGTGGGATGTTTAGAAAGTTGTCCCGTGCTCCGATGCCGACAAACCTGTTGGAAGCTGTGGAGCTTGGCGAGGAGTATGCTGCTCAAACACACACACACACACACACACACACACACACACACAAGCACATACATACATATGTCATTAATTACAACTTTGCCACAGCACTTCATCAGAATATTAACTGGAACTGAAGGATTTCGACTGTCTTCACTATGAAATACTGTAGCACTGGAGCTGTAATAAACTACTCACAGAGCCTTAATCACACTGTATATTTGTTCTTAGTTTTATAAAAGTAGAAAACTCTGGAATAACAAAGGTCATGCGTGACCTACATGACATTTTTATTTTAGTGTTCACTCAGTAAAGGTCACAACGGGAAGGAACTTATCACGGATTTTGTCGAGAGGGAGCGAGAGGGAAACTGTCAATTTTGTTTGCACTGAACTGATCAAATTCAGGGCAGCTGTAGATAAAGGACTCCAAATTCAGACTTAATATGTCAAAGAGAGTTTTATGTGGGTGAGATTAGGTAAGGCTAAGAGAAGCAGTGAGAAGAGGAGTTAGTGTGTGGGTGTAAGTTTTCAACTGTGTTGGTGTATTTTTGAATGTGTGTCTGTGTTTACACATGAATATACTGCATTACTGTCATCAGAGAGGAAAGTATGCAAAATGGCAGTAAAACACGAAAGGAGCAAAAGACTAGGGCTGCACGATATGCACAAAATACTGGTAATGGTCAATGATATTGCCTTGCAATTTATTAACCTCTTAAAATCCCAGGCTTATTACATACTAAGGCTTATTATTCAGTAAAGAGTTATTTTTAGGTTATAGAAGTGTATAACAAAACTTTGGGCCCACTGACAGGCCCAGGCCATTTAAGGGGTTAATAAAAACAAACAATCAATAATGTAACATAGTAAAAGATTGGCATTGTTTTTTTACCCAGTGTTTCTCCCCAGTTCCATAGCCAACTGCACGCACAGTTACGTCCCCCCTATCACACAATGCTACCAAGATGGCAGGGTGAAGGTTAGCATGAGCTTTCTTTGATACACATGAAGCATCACCATGTCTTTTAAACTGATGCTAACTCAACTCGCTTCTCAATGAGAACGCTAACTGCCAATTTCCAAATATGTCAGCCAACAGACAACTAGCATGCTGAGGGAGCAAAGACATTTAGGTTCTCTTGGACTCCTGGCTATGGATGGCCGTAGTATCATCTGTAGGATGATACTACAGGCTGTAGGAATCATACAATCTCTCGACAATAGAGGGAGCATTTAGACCATTCAGGGAATTGTTTTGACCAAACTAATTGACTTTTGTTGGATTATATGAATACCTTGATTTACCAAAACACTCACAGAAACTCATCTGTAACTATGATTGGTACAGATGCACATGCATGTGATATCGATATCGCAAAGGCCAATATCACCATAACACTAAACAATATATTGTGCAGCTCTAGACTCAACATAATGGAATGAGACTGTACCATTATATCACAGATATACAGCATGAAACAAGTGAAAGAGTTGGCGTGAATGAGAAAACAGAGTTTAAAAGAATCATTTTAAGTGGGTGAAGGGAAACAGACGACGTGAAAAAGGAAAAAGAGGACAAGAAGAGAGGAATGGTCTTCATCCAGCGCCCTCTGGGAGTTCATAAGGCCCGTCCTTCTGCCCGACTCGTTCACCGGTAACCCCCCAACACACACAAACCCCAAGCGCAAACCCCAACACCTCAACATCGCCCTTAAGACACACACATATACGCTATGAATGCATCCCTGCTTTACAGTACAGCTGCAAAATTAGTCCATTTAAATTTGTGTTCATTTTTGTGAGACTGCTGTGTGGGGCTTTAAGTGGAATATAGTGTTTATTTATTCATTTATTTATTTTGATTTATTGTTTGTTTGGTTGTTTTTGTGTTTTTTTCTTTTGGAGTCCATGCCAACTGCCCTGAATTTGATCTCTCGAGGGAGGGAGGGAGGGATGAGAAAAAAAATGCACAGAAAGTGGTAGCACAGGAAATAGAAATAAAAAGAGAACAGAGAAAAAAAGATGAGAGTGAGATGAGAGTGTAGAATCTTTATATCTTTAGAAGCAGATTTTTACATATTTATTTTTTTGTTGAATGTTGAAGTGATCCGTTTTAATCTAGGTTTATGGTTTATGCTGATAATCATGAGAGTAAAAACAGTGAACAGAATACAAAGGCATCTAAAAACCAGAGAGAAATCAATGAAGAAAATGAAGAGAAAGAAATTATGATAAGGGAGAGAGAAAAAGAGAATGGGGAGAAAAATCAGAGCCTCTGCCTGACGAACTGTTGGTTCTACTGACTGAGATTATGAGGGTACCTGCTATACATTGGGGTGAAAGGTCATGGCCCACAGCCTCTTAAAATTCTGAACAGGCCATTTGGACGAATGTGATACGTTTTCTTAAATGGTTTTGTTTTGGGCTTATATTTTTTATTATTTTTAAATTTTTTCTTTTTAAAATTTATGTTTGCTTATCAGGTTTGTGCAATATTATGAAAATATTATGTGTGCAATATTATGCACAATATTTACATGAGTATTTTTCAGCCTCTCTTTATTATTTAGAATTAAATAGGATGTTTTGTTTATATATTGCGTCCCATTCAAAAAGTAGTTTGGGCTGAAATGTACAGAACAAATGGTTCGGGCTGAAATCATCAGAAATGTCTGATGACAAAACAAAATTTTGTGTGGATCTTCTGTACGGCTGTGATGATACATTTGCTTCCCAACAGCCAAACGCACAACATTTTACCCACTAGAATACGTGGAATACGAATAATAATAATAATAGTGAGCACAAGCGGTGTAGAAGATGAACACATGAATGAATGGAGAATAGCAGCCCGCATCACTTCAGAGTGAAAGGCAAGGCTAAACTGTTGTAGGCTGAATGGGTGGTCATATGTAAATGTTCATGGTTGTGACATCACAACCACAATGAATTCAAAGCAAGCCGTTTTTGCAGCTAAGCCTCCACATATGAACTATGTTTATACAGTACATGCACCTCTAATTTAAAAGAAAGCTAGAAAAAGTTGCCTTCTCATTATATGGGCCCTTTAAAAATATTTAGTCTATTTAGTCAGGGCTTAGGTTTAATCTGGTCATTAGAGAAGATAGCTTTAATCATTCCTGAACTCTGTAAATGGGGCTGTGTTGGTGTGTTTAGGGGTCGTGGAGGGGCCCGGGGGTTTGGGGGAGACTTACAGGGTGATGTGGGTGAGCCGAGTCCCCCGTCGGGGTGTGTGTGGCTGGGTTTGGGGTCGGGCATGGGGAGGGGCACCGGCCGCGCCACCGGAGGAGGCGGAGGCAGCAGGAAAGAGCCGGACATTTTACTCTGACCGCTCCCGTTAGGCTGCAGACACATACACACACTGAGTGAAAGTTGACAGCATAACACACACACACACACACACACACACACACACACGCACTAAGGATGTCCCGATCCACTTTCTTTTGCCCCAATCCCAGTTCGGGTCATTTAAAACTGAGTATCTGCAGATTCTTAGTTTTTTTTAGAAAATACTCACACAGTGCACTCTTTAAGTACTTGCAAAATAGCAAAATCAGTCCAGTTTAGATATGCAAGTTACTTTAAAATACCACAGTGATGTTTCATTTTTAAGTTTGTGTATATTGTGACACACTGTGCTTTTGTTTTTTTTGTTTGGGGGTGGTTGGGGGGTGCTAGGCCAATTTTTAATGGATAAGTCATGAGAGTTGGATTTTTAAATTGTCAAATAGTCATGGAAGTTTTCAAATCGAATAGTAAATTAGGACTTTTGATATGCAATTTAGCTTCTCTAATGTTATACATTCTCATACGTATGGCCCATACGTTGTCTGAACTCTACACTTCACCAGAGGGCGGTGAAGAGTCTTACATTTAGATCAGAGGTTCTAATCTGATTTATCCAATGAAAGAACCACATGAAGTCTACTGTAGCCATCTAAAGACTACTGCACAGCAGACTAGGAGCAACGCGCCATGCAGTAGATAGTACAAAGTACAGTTACTGCACATTTGAAGTGTTGCAGAAAATCTCAGACAAACAAGCTCAAGCTCTTTTAACAATTTAATTGAATAGATTTATTGGAATAAAACTTTCAACATCATTTACTTCATGTATCACATTTGGTACAAGCTAACTCTTTACAAACTTACTATTTTCCAGCTAAAAGTTATGATGTGCTTAGGCTAGGGTGGCATGGTGGTGCCGCAGGTAGCGCTGTTGCCTTACAGCAAGAAGGGCCTGGGCGTTTACCCCAGCATGCATGTTCTCCCTGTGTCTGTGTGGGTTTCCTCTGGGTACTCTGGTTTGGACATGCTAAATTGCCCCTAGGTGTGAATGTGTGTATGGTTGTATGTGTCTGTTTGTCTGCCATGCAATGGAATGACTGCTGGGATAGGCTCCAACCACGCACCCCCCCGCCCCCAACCCAGAAGGATAAGTGGCTTAGATAATATCTATGCGTCTAGGCTGGTAATGTGGGTGGGGGCGGGTTGTAATAATGACTTACAAACTTGAATTTTAAAATTTACCTGACATGCCCACCCCAGAATAGTGCACTTTAATGCACTTCTTCCAACTGCAAAGTAGCTGATTCCCATTTGTCAGGTTTGAATATGCTGTTAGTTCAAGTTTATATGCGACTAGCTGAAACCCTGGCTGTGTAGATTTTTAAGTGATAGTTGGTCTGGTTTTATTTTCCACTTTAAAATGCCATTGCAGACCTTCAGACTTGCTTAAAAACATTCCTTACAGCTGCAACTCGTGGCTAGTGTTTGTTTACATCACCCCTACAACAGTGGTGTAAACAGAACAGACTTAAGAAAGGATCAGAATGAGATCGGACTGAACGTAGCTGAGATCGATGCATTAAAATGTGCCTTAAACTTGGATAATGGCCTTGAATCGGATCGGGTCATCCAGATAACGCACGCGCAAACATACTCAAATAGCACCAGCTCAGAAGATGAGTGCATGATGAACAGAGGGCAATGATGACAGGAACTCACAAAGTAAAAGGAGATAAATGAAAGACAGAGAGAGTGAAATGCTCTAAAAACTGCAGGACAGTAGGGAGTGCTGAGAGACAGAGCAGTGGTGTAAAAGAGTTAGAGTCATAACAGTAGAGCTTGTGAGATGTGTGTAGAGGATCATTCAGTGTTAACGAAGCACATCTGTGTGTTGGCAGTGTTTGTTTATGTACCCTGTGTGTCTGTGTGAGTGTGTGACTGTGCTAGGGATGTTAAAATGCATTAGGTTACGATCAGTTACGATCAATTATATTAATATTCAATAAAGAATACTGCCGTAGCCGGAACAAAAAATGATGTAGAGTCATATGCAAAATACTTGTACAATTACTGTTTATTTGCTTAATTTAACATATTGGGAAAAAAAGTAACATAAATAAAAAATGGAGATACAAGTTTTGCTCAGACAGTGACAGTATGCTTGTTTTTGAACAAAAATATTAAATAATTAAATAAGTAATAAAACCTTGGTGTATTGTTTTTATTGTATATATTACAATACAGTCATATTTGTGTATTCTGTGTATTTAAAAACAAAAATTTATGGTTTTGTGTTCTGAGGGTGTTACCTGAGCGCCAGGCTGGGCCGTGCCATCGGCGCAGACGAACTGAACAAACTCCTTGAGCGGGTCCTGGTGGTGGTGGTAGCGAATGGTGGGGTGAGTGAAGTACGGGCTGGACTGCTGGATGATGGAGGGAGAGGGGAAATGGAGGGCTGAGGCAGAGGCACGGGGACTCCCTGAGAGACAATGTGAGAGAGAGAGAGAGAGTGTGAGAGAGAGAGAGATTGAAGGTGGGTGACAAAATTTATGGATTGTTAAAAATATTTACACATTTATAAGGACACATTGATGAGTGAGTGTTTATCTATATATGAATCATAAATGTGTATTTCATTGTGTGTATTTCTCATCCATCCTCTCTCTCTCCATCTCCGTCACTGACCACGTTTGCATAGTCAGTGATCCTTCCTTTTTTGAGTTTTCCCAAATTATTAGTGTCCAATTCTTACAAACTCACTAAGGCTCCTACCACCACACAATGCTACCAAGCTGGATGAAGGCTAGCACGCGCTTCCTCCATGTCACGTGACACACCACTGTATCTTTTCAAGTGGTCACCAATACAACATCCCTGTACAGCTCAACACGTTTGGAGGAGAGTGCTAATGCTGATCCAGTACAGCAAGGCACTGCAATGGATCCCATTCATTTTCTATGGGAAGTGTTGTACTGAAAAAGATGAGCAGAGCTAAACTTTATACAAATGATTCCAGCCAACGTGATGTGCTTAACTAATCAGGAGGCAGGCTGACTTGTGTCTACAGAAAAGTAGGAAACATCTGTTATGCTTGTGAAACGTTTCTATGCAACAGCAGCAAAACTCCATATATATAAAACTAGTGGTGTCAATGGATTAAAAAAATAATCAAATTAATTACAATAATAGGTTGTGATAATCATGATTAATCGTGAAGTGTAAATAGTATTTACTTGTATTTTTGGGGGGAGATAAATAAAAGCATTCATGAATTGTACGGCAGTGAAAAGGCCTAAAATGTCTAAATTGTGCTCGGTGAATGGCAGATTCCTCGCTGCCTGTGATCATATTGTGAGCGCGATCTTTTCCTACAGTGGTGACCTTTATTCATCTAGTTCCAGATGGAACTTTAATTAATCTAAAGCACACCAGGGGATGTTTCCTCGGTCATCGTGTTATCTATGTTTGCGCCTTTCAGGAAATCCATGCGGGAATTACGGGAGGAAATTGGTAATATGATTAATTTGTGTTAAAAAGTTGAACGCATTAAGGTTTCCAGATTAATTGCAGGCATTAACACGTTAACGTTGACAGCTCTGTTTAAAACAACTGTTTTACTTCCAAAATCCGAGTGGGAAGATGACTGGTTTGATGTTCATACTGAGATCACTGAACTTAATATCCGATATGGACATAAAACATATTGGAAAATGTTAGCTTAATCACACACAATACGTTATTCAAAAAAAAAAAAAGAAAAGAAAACAAATTATTAATTACACAAATATTGATTTTGGAAAAAAAATGCAGGAAATGCCCCCATAACACCTGTAAGCAGCCAACTGAAGCGGGGGGGGGGTGTTTCCATATCCACTGCACTAGACCACTGTGAATGCAATTCAACTGCCAATTCTATTACGTCAGCTAACAAACGTTCATGCTGGCTCGGGAAGAGGGATGCTCAGAGAAAGTGGGGCCAGTTGTGCTCTCTTGGACTCCCAGCCATGGATGGCTGTAGCATTGCTGGGAATTGAACTCACGACCTCCCAAAAGGGCCCGTGCTTAAATGATTGTGCCACTTTTATCTCCCTCTCTGTTTCTTTGTTTTCTCTCACAAAGAATCGGTCCCAACCACACGAGAGGACACACACTGGAAAGAGTGATGCCCTGAAGTGACTTGATTTGAATGTATACATCATTTCCACATGAATAAAATACATTACATCAACATGGTTACTGTCTTTCAGTTTACTTACATTTGGCAGTTACTGTGTTGATGTAATGTATTTTATTCATGTGGAAACGATGTACACATTTGAATCAAGTAAATTCAATGCAGCACTCTTTTCAATGTAAACTCTGTCTTACACATGCAAATTCATAAACAACACAAACAGCATTGTTCCCATCTTCAAAAATTACACATTACTCACTAGATAAAAGTAAACAGCACTCACTCACTCATTTCTCTCTCTCTCTCTCTCTCGCTCTCTCTCTTGCTGACAGCTCAACACAAACACTGCATTCTGCATGAAACAAACTTTCATAATCACATCCACATTTATAATCCACTTAAAAACAAACTGCTCCGAATCCTCGTGACCTTTTCTTAATTGGCTCTCTCCGGCTGCAGCCAGGCCCGAATGGATTGCAATTTCGTGTAATTTTTTTTTCCCAAGGCCGTCGATCGGGATTAAACATCTGGGAATGTTGGGAATACGGAGGAGGAAAATTCGGAATTCTTCCCTATTGGGTCAGAATGGGCACATCCCCCTCCACCCCCTGAGACTCCACTCTCTGTTCTAGTGCGGATTGTCACTTTATTAACGTGATTATCACGCTGTTTCAACGACTTTCGCGTTCACCAGCCCAGAAGGAGACGATAAGAGTAGCTACATTTTCTCCTCCTCCACCCGCCTGACACTTGTTTTTGTTTCATTTTTTTTTTTTTTACGTCCTGTCCCAGTTTGAATGACAGCATATCTGTGGCTTATAAACAGCAGCGACAGGCTCAGCAGCTAATTATAAAAAGACGAAAGACCAAAACATTCAGTTTTAGACTTGTAGAAGAGGTCGCGCATCAATTACGCATTTGGACACGTTATGAATGTTCCTGCCACTCGCCCTCCCTCTCTATCTCTCTCTCTCTCTGTCTTAAACCACAAATAATCTCCAAGATGACTCACTGGGGAGTCTTAATTTTTATTTATTTCTTTTTTTTATTCAAAAATGAAAAATGAAACGAACATGTTTGGCATAGAACGCAATGCTCCAAACAACTGACGTCTAGCGAGAGTGTATCTGCAAACAGTTAAATAAAATACGGCGAGTACTATAAAGAGTAGCTTAGATACCGTTTTGAAAACATTTCAACTGATTAAGTGCTCAGTGAAATGTGTACTTTACAACAAAATATGAAACAGATGCTACAGCTTAGAGTTTGATGCGCTGGGAAACAAAGACCAGACACATTATGACATTGCGCCATGACTTCTGGTGAGAGACTGTAACACTCAGAACAACAGAGCGACAGATAGGGGAAAAAGTGAGAGGGAGAAAGGATGACAGGAGTGATGAAGAAGAATAGAAGAAGATTAGAGGAATGGACAATACCAGTGAGGTTTCCTGCTTGGGCATCCTCAAAACTTCCTATAACTTTGCAGAGCCTTAGAAACTTTATTGCTGGCATAGTCATTATTCTAACTGACAGACACTTACAACTCTTCTCTAAAGATGTTTTTCCGGACAGTGTCGTATACGTGCTATCTGCTCCATGCTAGAGCACCTGTGTCTGCTTCCTACCACATAACACAAAGGTGAAAGTGGGTGGTGTGGTTGGCATAATGTAATGGGTAACACCCCTGCCTTCTACGCTGTCAACTGGGGTTCAATCCCCTGCCTAGACAAACATCCTACACCAATAAGAGTCCTTGGGCAAGACTCCTAACACTACCCTCGCCTACCTGTGTAAATTCATCAAACTGTAAGACGCTTTGGATAAGGGCATCTGCCAAATGCCACAAATGTAAATCATCCTATCTTATAGGATGATAATGTTAAAAGTGTATTGCTGACAGTGGTGGTGACAGGAACCAGATATCTGAAGAGTTTAATTAATTTAAAAACTCCCTTACAGAAAGTTATTACATGAAATGCTAAAGAATATTTTGCCTGATGTCTGTGCCCATTAGTACATGATAATTTTGAGGTTTTTTAAAATCCACTCATGATTGAGTCTTACATGCAGAGTGCTTTAAAGCAAAATAGTCCCCCATACTTTTTCAGATTTACCACCATTTTATCATTATTAACACAGCATATTAAACTCGGAAGACGTGTAGGTTCACTGATGGTTATGGATAGCAAATAAAACGACTTTATGTGCGTTGCAGACACCAAGACCATCACTATAAGGAAATCTGAATACAGAAGTTTCTCTACAATGCACAATTTCACAGCAAGCCACTCTGGATAACTTCGTTTACATCTCAACGATTGTATTATGCAGAAATTTTGAAAAAATTGGTGGAACTCCCTTTTATTAGTAAAAAAACACAACAGCAGCAAGAATGAAGGAGCTTTAAGTGCTGAGTTACCTTTAACTCTGGATCCTGGCTATCTAGTCTCTTTTCAGAAATGGTAGTTGACTTGAATGACACCACAATTCTATTCTATTCTATTCTATTCTATTACTAGCTTTAACCATACGTTCCAACTCAGCACACTTGATACCCTGGCATGAAGGGTAACTCAATACGTCAATACTCAGTACTCAACAAGTTTTTACAAACCCCCCGGTCTCAGTTCAGTAAATTTCCACTATACTGGTCCCCCCGCCTCTTTAACGAATGTGATAGGGAGATTGGGCACTAGTGAAAGTCTTAGTGTTTAAAGGGCCCAAATTCTGCATTTTGTTTTATTCCTAAGTACACAGATAATCCAGCAGCAACACTCCTTACTGTACAGTATGGTAACTACACTTCTTATCACTTCAGTGTAAATGGGCAGGGCTAAACTGGTGTAGCTTGAACGAGCATTCATATGTACGTGTTCATGGTTGCCATGTCATTAATTAACTTCTTTAATGACCGGGGCCTACCGGTGGGCCCAAAGTTTTATTACACACTTCTATAAACTGCATTGAAGCCCCTGTAGTTACTGTAAGGAAATCTGACCATACATACAAACATACGTTTCTCTACAGCCTTAGTGTGTACTAAGCCTGGGATTTTAAAGGGTTAATTTAAAAAGAGCTGTTTTGGCAGCTTAGCGTATATATATATTGACTGCGTACACTATGAAACTACATACATCATAGTAAACATCTTGGGCCCTTCAAACAACTCCTACCATGTATCAATCTCTCTCTTTGTGGGATTTTCGAGTTTTTGGGATTGGGGAGGTTTTTGTTTTTTTTTTTCTCACCTGGTCTCACTCCCGCCAGCATGGGCAGTGGGTGGTGTGTGAAGGCCATGCGGGGGGACCTCGTCTGAGCCGACAGGGCGCCGAAATCGAATTTCCCCGACGGCTTCTTTAGAGACCCGGGAGAGGACAGCCCTGCCAGAGACCACACGTCAACAACAACAGACAACAAACAGGAAAATCAACAAGCTACAACACACGCTGCGCCTTCGCTAATAATGCCCTCCACTTGCAAGCTTAAAGTCCCTGTCAGGAATCGCCACAGCTTGCACACTAGCTTTTAGCACCACAACAACAGGGACTGTCAAATAGCATCAGCAACAAAATAAAACGATGGTACAAGACTTTACCCAGGAAGAGGTACAACTACCATGTTCTCTGTTAGAAAACTCAGAGCTAGTACTGAAGTGAGAGTTAGTACTGTTTCAGTAGTTCCTGACTGGGGCTTTAAAACATCTATCCTGTTCTTTATGTTCTCATATGGACAAATTAATTTATGCTGTTTGATGCTATGGACACATAATAGCGGGCGTAGCTGAAAATGTAGCTTGGTTGGTTAACAACAATGTTAAGACCTGAAGGTCAGTATCTCCTTGTTTGGTAAGGTCTCACTTTAATGCAGCCATATTCTAAAGTTTTCTAGCTACAGTCCATTTTCCAACCTCTCTTAATGCCTTCAAGCTTTACTATAGTAGTATATATATATGTACAAAAAAATTTTCAAAACAAGCTACTGAATTCAGATTCAAGCCCTCATGGATGTTAAAATAAAATTAACTGCAACTAATCCTTTTGGATATCTGGATGTTTTGGAGGTCTATACAACGACACATTAAACAGCACAGCATTTATTTGTTTTTAATCATTCACTCCAATAACTAACTCTGCTACATGCTGTTCGCAGTAACAACACTCCATATCACTTCAGTGTGTAGGCCAGGGGTCGGCAACATGTGGCTCCGGAGTCACATGCAACTCTTTTACTGCCTGTTGCGCCTCCACAGCCAAATTAGATTACATAAAATATTCTTCATTTGCAGTAAAATAAAGCTCTGCTTTTCATTCTAACATAGTTTTAACAATAAATGGTTTTAAACGTTGCAGTTAATGTAGTCTATATCTGTTATCACCAACCTTTAACCCTGAGGGTTGGCTCGCAGACTGCTGGTCACACAGCAACACAGACAACAGTCTCACCTAGCAAGTAGCTAACGAAAAGGTAAAGAGAAAGATTTAAGACTAACATCTACAATTCAGAGACGAACGGACTTATTTGCGTTTATAAGCACTCCTGATTTTAACATTCCACCTTAAATGGTGCCTGAGGTGCCAGAATGTAACTGCTGCACCATTTAAGGTGGAACAAGAGAATTGAAACAAGAAGTTGGTGAACACGAAGCTGACTTTAGCCTCATAAAAAATCGAATGTTGAGAGACATTTTACAAGAAACTACTGTACTTTTGAGGAAAAGTTTTTTGCCGGAGATGCAAGAAAATCAGCTATAGCTGAGCTAAAGCTTAAAGCAAAGCAAAGTAAGTCTGTATTTTCGCTAATATTATATCTTTATATATAGAGGGTGATTCAAAAAGATCAATCCGATTTCAAAATGATTTATTTATTTTACTTGTAAATCATTACAGAACAATGCAGTAAATTGTAAATAGTTTAACTGAGCATAAAGTTTATTATGTAATTTTTCAAGTGCTCAATAATGACCTCCTCCAGCTGTACGGACAACATCAACGCCATAGTCAAATTCATCCCATACTTGATTGAGCATGTTGGGTGTCACTGAACTTACGGCTCTTTCAGTGTGATTTTGGAGATCATCCAGTGTTGTGGAACTAACAACAAACGCTCTGAGCTGTTGGAAGTATGACGGATTCGCTCTTATTGAAGTGGAGAACGCAAAACGCTTTCTGCTCAGGGCTCTCCATCTCCTCGCAGACCGAAGGGAGCCATCCTCCAGTGACAGTCAGAAACTCTATGACTCCCTCTTTCAGTTGATATGTGATTGGTTCTTAGGTGCCTCACGGTTGTAAAAATATGGTGCTTTGAATTGGATGAATCTTTTTGAATCACCCCCTTTATATTCTAATACATTAGCTCATACTGAAAATGTTCCCGATTGCTAGTGTAGGGTAAATGAGTGGCCAAAGGCCTGTCACACTGTTATATAATCACCTATTCCAATTATTTGAGACAATCTCAATTATTTAAGCTGACTGCAATCATTTTCCACAGTAGTTAGATTTCACAGTCATATTATGCTGCGACAGACAAAATGTTAACTGAATGTGCTGGGTTGAAACAAATAAATGTAAATTAAAGAAAAGAGTAAATGCACTGATATGAGACACTGAGATGTCACTTAAATGAGTGTTTTACTTATATTTTCACTCCTGTGAAGAAGGTGTAGCTTTGCGTGACTCTATATATGCACATGTTCTATGTAACTGTAGACCTTTGTGTGAGTTAATTTGTCAGTATAACCAGTGTTAGCTACTAAGTAAATATTGCTAGCAAGTAAAGTGGTTAATCAGCCAATTTGGCCACTTTAGGCCTGTATTTTAACAGTTGTAAACAATGAACAAGAAAAGACAATTAAATCACTAATCACTATATTAAAATTAATCATCAGCTAAAATTTCATGATCGTCATAGCTGATGATTAATTTTAATATAGTAATTAGTGATCACTATATTAAATGTAAATATATGTAAATATGTTCTTGATTGTGACAATGAATTTAATACAGGCTTTTTTTGTGCTATACGTTTCAAGGTAAAGACTTTATAGACTGGAGATCATTTTAAAACGTAAATAATGTTTGAAAAGTACATTAAACTTTTTTATTTTAAAAAAGGTGAGAATTATTTTTCCATAATATGTGCCCTTCAAAGCTTTGTGGCATTAAAAAAACTCACAGATCTATTGGCCATTATTTGAAACAACTATTAATTAGAATTAAGCATGTACAGTTTTACTTTTACCTAATTGCTTTGGGATGCCAGGCATAATTAATGTTCTTCCCCAATGCTATAAAACAAATAATACTAATAAAAAATGTTATTACTTTCAACCAGGCAAACCTTACAAAACAGTTTTCCTTATAACCATTTTACTGCAAGTTGTGTCTGTAGATTACAAACTGTAGACTATAATTATATTTATATACAGTACTGTGTAAAATTCACAGACCACCTTTCATTTATTTAATTTCCACCAATGACCATTAAGTACAAGTTATTTATTTTTCAAGATATTTCTAAGATTAGATAAAAAACAATCCACTTGCATAAGGATGGCAAGGAAGTTCTAGGAACATAATTGAAAAAAACAAGAGTTTTCAACACTGGAAATATTAAAAGATGGATAACTAACGACCAAAAACGATTAAAGACAGAGAAAATCCTAATTCCTAACAACCACACAAACATCTAGGAGACCAACAAAACTGTCTGAATCAGAAAAACAATACTCTATCTATGTCTATCCTTCCACTTTGAGAAGACCACTCAAGACAACTCAACATTGGCAAATCAAACAAAGAAGCTGATGGGGACCACCCAGAGTCCAGACCCCAACATTACTGAATGTGTTTGGGATTACTTCAATCATGAGAAGCAGACAATGCAACCAACTTTGGTAACACTTTATTTGGATAGTCCACTTTAAATGCTTTGTAGATGCTTAATTTTCTTTGAAGTTACATTCAACTAAATATCTACTAAAGTGACCATATTGTCTTTAACTCTAAAACTGGCTCTGATCCTAACCCTAAACTTAACCTCAACCCAAAACCTAAACCTAAACCCACCCCTCACCCTGGTCCAGATCCACTGTTTAGAATCAACTGAGTTTCAACAGACAGTTTGTTAACAATTTGAACATCTGTAGATAATCTACAGGGGACAACTTCTAAGACTGAACTTTGGAAGTGTGTAAATATCACTGTAAACTTAAACTTAAAACTGAAAGCAAGTGTTCGGAAAAGAAAAAAAAACTTGTACTTAATGATTGTTTTGATGGGAAATTAAGTAAAGAAAGTGTCGTCTCTGACTTTCGTATTATAGATGACAGAAATGTGTGAGATGTGACTTGAAGCCTAAATCAGGAATCTCTCAATGTGCAGGCCAAATGTTTTATAGCAAATGAAGACTTGATATAACAATAACAACCCTGATTAATGAAAGTCAATAATGCACAAAGGAAAACAGTGAATAGAGCTTTGGCAACACTACTGTTGACTGGTTTTGCAAGTTTGGAATGTTGAGTTTTGTCTGATGTCACTTTGGTGTCTACATAATAAAAAAATCTGCAGATCTATCCAACAGGCAACGAATCCAGCAGGCTAATCTTGAACTGCATTACTCAATGTACAGGGTTCTGTGTTCAACAGCTGCTCCTACGCATCACCCAGCACAGAATGATGGATAGAGGGGGAAACGATAAAGAAAATATGATGGATATATATATTGTGTGTGCGTGGAAGGGGGGTGAAAATAGCATGGCGAGGTGAGAAAATGTGGGAGAAAGTGACAGGAGGACAGAGCTTCAGTGGCAGATTATCAAAACCACACACACTCCAAAAATGGCTGAACCGAATCCTGGCATGGAGCGCTGTGCCTCTGAAATGTTCTCTCTTAAACTTAGTTTCAGTTTGCGTGTTATTTTTTCACTCTCTATATTAAAGCATTAAATCCCATTTAAGCTTAAATCCCTCGGTTTCAGTTCGTCAGTCTGTTTGTATATGTGTGTATGTGTGTGTGACTGTGTTTTTAGACATGTGTGCGTGGGTGTGTGTAAATGTGTGTTAAGTCTGGAGCAGGTGGGAGTGTGTAAAGAGAGAATATGAGAATATGGGAGCTGTTTCTGTTCTCCATCACTCGTTTCTTCTTTTTTTTTTTTCTTTTCTTTGTTGTTTGCCATAAATACTGTGAAAAGGCCCGGAGGGTGCACGCTATTAGAAGTGATACTGAGAGGCTAATCTCACCACGACCAGCAGCGATTACACAAACAAAGTTTAAAACGTACACACGCAAGGCACGGAACTGACTTGATTCAAACGTGCATATCAGCCCTACATAAATGAAATAGATCACATAAACAGGCTTCCTTACTTCTGGCAGTAACTGTGCTGATGTAATATATTTAATTCATGTTGAACTGATGTACATATTTTAATCAATTCAATTCAGTGCAGCCATTCAGTCGACTATATAGAAGCCCATACATTAGCCTTATGACAGGCTTTATAACATCACCATAACATACACAACCAAAACAAAGCACATACAGAAGGAAACTAACTGTCTCCTCCCCTTTTTCATTAACGTGCCAGACTGGTATTTAGTTCTGCCTTAATAAAGCTTTAACAAAGTCAGTCTCTCCCTCACTTTCTGTCCATGTGTCACTCTCACTTTCCCTCTCCGCATTCTCTCTCTCCATCTCCATTTCTGTCTTTCTTTCTAAGTCTGTTTGTCTATTTGACTCTTTCTGTCTTTCTTTTTCTTTCTTTCTTTGTCTTTCTTTTTCTTTTTTGTGTTTCTTTCTTTCTTACTGTCTGTCTTTCGTTCTTTCTTTCATCCTTTCTTTCTTTTTTATTTCTTTTTCTCTCCTCTCTGTCCATCTCTTTCTCTCTCTCAATCTCTCATTCTTCCCTTTCTTTCTTTCTCTTTCTTTCTTTCTTTCTTTCTGTCTGTCTTTCATAGTTTTTTCTTTCTTTCTTTGTGTCTCGCTCTCTTTCTGTCTTCTGTGACTACACAAAATCAGCCTAAATAAAATTCATACAAAAGGAAACTCTCTCTCTCTCTGTCTGCATCTCTCTCTTTCTTTTTATCTGTAGATGTAAATTATTTGGAGCACTGCTGTACGTATGAGCACTGCTGTTGGATTAGGACAGTCTCTCTCTCTCTCTCTCTCTCTCTCTCTCTCTCTTTCTCTCATACACACACACACACACACACACAGACTTGGACTGATATCTCTTGTAGAAACACATTGGTGTCATCTGGGACCAGGAGCTGGAGTGAGAAAGAGAGAGGGTGTGTGTGTGTGTGTGTGTGTGTGTGTGTGTGTGTGTGTGTGTGTTCTAACCATGGTAAGGAAACTGCACGCCATCGTTTTCATGTTTAATCTTCCTCTCCTGAACGCTCGCCAAGTGGTGCTGCACTGCAAGTGGAGAAGGGCATTATTAACACAGAGAGAGTGGGAGAGAGAGAGAGAGAGATACAGAAAGAGAGAGAGAGAGAGAGAGATACTAAATAAGAGAGACGGAGAGAGGTAGAGAAAGAGGGCAATATAAGGAGAACAGAGAGAGAGAGTGACAAAGAACAGAGTGGTATATGTAGAGAGAGAGAGAAAGAACAAGAGGAGAGTAAACAGAACCAAGAGGGAGAATAAGAGAGGGTAAAGAGAGAAAGAAAGAAAGAAAGGTGAGAGAAAGAGGGAAAGAGAAACGTGTGACGAAACTTTGGGGAGGGAGTGAGACGGATAAAGAGAGGAAGAGTAATAGAGGTGGGAAAGTCTAGGTATCTTACTATTCGATTTTGTTTCATGGTGGCGAGGTGTGAAAATAAAATGATTGTCGATGCACCTTTTAGATTTCTACAGTCTACATTATAATGTTCTTCTGTATCTGTCATTAACAAGTACTGCTAGCTTAGTTGAGTCTGAATGTAGTCTATACTCTGTGCATGACGTCTGGTTCCACTATCTGGAACGAGATCCTAATCCTTACTAAGTCATGGCCACGCATTAGGATCTCGTTCCCACGTGTTCATGAGTCATGTCCACGCATTAATTTTATTTATATGGGATGACAGATGATTAATAAACTCTTAACAGGTTTAACAACAAATCAGTGAAGTAGCAGTAGTGAAGCATCTGAATACACTGAAGTAAATATCTTGTAGATGTTCTGTTGATACATTACGTACATTAAGTAGATATATTGTTAATATGTTACTTCCATTACGCAAAACCTAACCTTACCAACCTTACCCAAAACCTAACCCTAACCAAACAAACTAACAAACTAACTAACAACCAAATGAACAAACTAATAAAAAAAGATCACACACTCTCCCATCAGAAAAACATACAAAGGTCAAGTAAATACAACAAATAAATGAATTAATAATACTCAACAGCATTTGAAAATATATGCCCATTTTGAATTTGATGCCAGAAACATGTTTCAAAAAAGTTGGAACAGGGGCATGCTTACCACTGTGTTTCGTGATGTTTGGGGACTGTCAAAACTACAATTGCTGTAGTTTTGAAAGTTAAATGTTTTCCCATTTTTGCTTGATATAGGATATTGCATTTTTCATTTCATAACGCGACTAATGTTTTCAGTGGGTGTCAGGTCAGTTTAGCACCCAGACCCTTTTATTACAGAGCCATGCCGTTGTAATATATCAGAATGTGCGTTGGCATTGTCTTGCTGAAATAAAGAAGCCTTCCCTGAAAAAGACAATGTCTGGATGGCAGAATATGATGTGTCGAAAGCCTGTAGATCTAATTCAGCATAAATGATGCCTTCACAGATGTGCAAGCCACCCATGCCATGTGCACCAATGCACCCCTATACTGTCATGAATGTTGGCTTTTGAACTGTGTGCTGATAATAAACAGGATGGTCCCTCTCCTCTTTAGCCCAAAGGATGCAGCATTCATGGAATTTAAAATTTTGATTTGTCGGACCACAGGACACTTTTCCACTTCTTCCACATTTTGTACAAGCTTGGGCCCAGAGAAGGCGGCAGCGTTTCTGGATCCTGTTTATATATGGTTTCTTCTTTGCATGGGAGGGCTTTAACTTGCATTTGTGGATGCAGCGATGAACTGCATCAGACAGTGGTTTTCAGAAGTGTTCCTGAGCCCATCCAGTGATTTCCACTACAGAATCATGTCTGACCTGTTGCCAACTAACCTAATTAATTGTGAGATGTTCCACCAGTTTTTTTTTTTAGCGTCACACAACTTCACCAGTCTTTTGTGCCCTGTCCCAACCTTTTTGAAATATGTTGCTGGCATCACATTAAAAAAAAATTATTATATTTTTCAAAATATAGTAAAATTCCTCAGTTTCAACATTTGCACTATTTTCAATCAAATGATTTGTACATCATTGCATTCTGTTTTTATTTACATTTTGCACAGTGTCCTTGTTTTGTTTTTGTGTGACCCCCCCCCCATTGCCCTGACAAGGTATATAAATAAACCTGTGAATCTGTGTTTGTGTGTGTGTGTGTGTGTGTGAGTACCTGTGTCCACATCGTTGGGCCAGCCGCTGGATTGTGAACTGGTGCCAGCAGGAGAGCGCGTGGAATAAAATACGTCATCAACTGGGCTGTCCATTTCGCTGTCATCTATAGACTTACGTTTAGTGGAGCTAGAGAGAGGTAAAGAGAGTTGGGGGGGAGAGAGGCGGGAGAAGGAGGGAGGGAGGAAGAGAAAATGGAAGAGAGAGAAATATGTTTTATAAATAGATACTGCTGTAAAACATACTTTGCAGAAAACAGAAACACAAGCACATAAACACACACAGATAGATAAGCATGTACACAATCCTTAAAAAGTTTGGAATCAGTGCTTTTAATAATGTGAAGTGAAAACTGGGTTGCAGACAGGTATATAAAAACCTGACTTGAGAATAAGTGGAAATTAATTTCCAGAATTCATCATATTTCAAAAGTGGAGATCAAACATAAATATTAAAATATTGAAAAACAACATCTAAAATTACCTTTGACAGCTTGTTAGACTTAAATATTAAAGTAATTATTGTATATTAAAACAACAAAAATAATAATTTGGCAAGTGATTCCAAACTTTTGAACGGTAGTGTGTACACACATATATATATATATATACACACACAAAGAGCCAGAACAAAAGTTAAGCACACAATAAGCTACCTCCGAGGAAGACTTGCGTACAGCTCCACCTCGGCCCTGGAGCACCACCCAGAGAGCGAAGGAGAGAGAGAGAGAGAGAGACAGGGAGAGGTGGAGAGGTATGACAGAAGACAGTGGAGAAGGACAGACAGAGAGGAAGAAAACAAATAAAAGGATGAGAGTGACAGAGGAATGAAGGGCAGATTCAGCAAGATAAGAACATTTTTTATCATTTATTATTATAGAAATGAAAGAAGGTATACATATTCTTGATTGAAGTGTGTGTTGGGGGTTTAGGTTTATGTATCAACAATAGCCATAAATCATTTTTACACAATTATTTCAAACCTCACTTTTTTTCAATTAAACAGGCTGTTTTTTGTTATTATGCCATTAAGACTGATATATATATATATATATATATATATATATATATATATATATATATATATGAGCTTGTTCTGTAAGTGAGCCCTTTATTGTATCTAATTAAAAAAAACAGTCCAGACTAAAATAGTCTTTATAACCTCAACATAAGCAGACGGGGCCTGTAGGCTAATTAGTTGTAAATAGTTGTTTTTGCAGCTTTGTAACCATATATGTGCTGTATGGACTGGAAGCCGAATGGTGCGTTAGGAAGCATTAAGAACGTCTACATAATACATCAAATTCTTTTATTTAAAAAAAGTGAGGATGTTGGTTTTTCCATGATATGAGCCATTGAAGCATTTTCCTTTTGCTCATTATTTACTGATATGAAGATGAGTTAATAATTCAATGAGTGCTTGGCTAAGACAATCTGATCAGACTCAGTCTAACAGGTCAAGTATTGACTAGAAGCTCTGTTAGTAAACACAGCTCAAGCAGACCTCATGTTCAAAATGAGGCCAAAACACCATAAGTTAACACTTTAGTATATGTTAACTAGAAATCAACATTTTTATTGGAGGCACTCATATGAACCAAAAGAAAATAAGCATATTATAGACCCAATGCTGTAATAAGGAGCACCTAGTTAGTTACTAGTTATTGGCTTGACAAAGCTTAATAAGAACATTATAGGATAATATAACGTCCCCTTTATTGAAGTATTACATGGGTTAAAATAATACATCAATCTACAGATGGCAACTAAATAGCACTGATTTGGGCAGTTAGAATCCATTATCGTTGATTATAACAATATTAAATAAAATATGCACTTATTTTTGGACAATTCTCTGCCTATTTTCAAACATGAAAAAGCTTGTTGTATTGTTTGTACCACATATATTTCACTACTTCTACTGTGTAAATAGCTCCTCTGGTCACACTTGTGTTAAATCTGAATAATAAAAATACTAAAATATTCAAATCTCAAACTGAATCACCCTGAGGACAGAGATTTAGCTATCTAGAGGAGTATGTGTGTGTGTGTGTGTGTGTGTGTGTGTGTGTGCGTGTGTCTGTGTGTGTACCTGGTAGATGGTGGTGATGTCAGCGAGCGCCGGCCCAGCGCTACTTGGTTGATGTTGTAGTAACCCGGACTCTCCAGGTCAGCCAATGAAAAATTAGGACCGGACGCCGTGGCAACCGGGGCTGAGAGAGAGAATAAAAAGAAAAATCAGTTCATATCTGAAATTTTAAATATCCCATGGCAACAATATGGCTAAAAGGTGATTTTTTTTATCTCTTGATATATCATAATGAACTCAGGACTGCTGATTTCTAAGACAAGAACAGCAATGAATAAGAATTGAATAAATTCATGACAGTTACAAATAACCAAAAAATAAATAAATAAATAAAATAAAATAAGTACCATTAGATCCTTATCCACAGCATAACTATCCAAATTTCTTCACTCTAGACTGTGCACTTCACAAGACCTTCTGTGGCATTTTTTTCTTATACTAAATTTAGTTGTTGAACATGAGTGGGATAACTAACACTTTTTTCTAGATCTAGATCAGCTCTATGACCTCACAAAAAACAACAGCATGGATTAAATGCTATACTTATATGTCTAGTTACATAGAGGTGAATCAATACTCTGCATGTGTGTTTACTCATTATGTAATCTTGCCCTCTGAACAGTTGCATATATGCGTGTATGTGTGTTTACTCACTCTGTGACACTCGTACTAGCTCGGCCGCGTTCCAAACCCCTGACGTTACGAAGCAATCCTGGAAGCTCAAATGTCCTGTAAGAAGGAGAAGTTATTACCTGTTACAACCACATGGCATCAAAAGGCAAATTAACTTTTGATCACTATATTAATAATGTACAGATAAATTTATGTAAGCTCGCTCAGAGACTCATAGACTCTTCTGGCTTAGAGCTCCATGACATTACAGACTCTTCTCATGTTAAACCTAATGATGTCATAAACTCTTCAGAGTACAGAACTCAAAGACATTACAGACCTTATTTACACCTGGTTGTTTCATGTGTGTTGAGTATCCAAATTATATCCAGTTAAAGATTACCCACATAAAAATGCAGGTTTAAAGGCAACCAAGATGCATTTAAAATGGATTTAAATCTGACCACTAAAACCACTTCAGAAAATGGTCTGAGAAGCAGTTCAGCCAGATGTTATACAAGTATAAATACATCTGTCTCTCCAAGCCACAGTTGACAACCAAAACGCCTCCCAATACTGTGACGGCGTCTCCCATTGCTGTTCTGTATAAGAGACCAAAATGCCCACTAGATGTCCACCACTAAACACAGGCATCACTACCCCTTCTGTTCAGCTCTTTATGTGAGTTTCTCCTCTGAGTTCACCTCACTGTTATACACTGTCTCACTAACTCATGTGGCTCATGACCTCAGTGACAGTACAGGAGTCTAATTATTCTAAACAGCCTCATCTAACACAGACTTTTCTGGCTTTGAGCTTAATGACATCACAGACTCTTCTGGCTTAGAACTAAGAGATGATATACACGCTTCTGGCTTAAAACTCAATTACATCACAGATCAGAGGAGGATGGGTTCCTTTTTTGAGTCTTGGTTTCTCTCAAGCTTTCTTTCTCTTGCTCTGAGGGAGTTTTTTCTTGCCACTTTCGCCCTTGGCTTACTCACTGGGCCCTAATTTTCTGTAAAGCTGTGTTTTGTCAACACTTATCATTAAAATCGCTTTATAAATTAAGTTTGACTTAACATGACTTGACCCTTCTGGCTTAGTGACATCGAAGGTTGGGATGTAACAGAATGAAAGTACTGGGAATACATACTCAGAATACAGAAGTATGCTGAATACAAGTATCTGTATCTGTTACATTTTGTAAAGACAATATTCAGAATACATTTGCCTTTTACATTTTTAGGAGAATACTTTTAGAATATGTACCTACTAAACAAAAATAAATAATACATTTAATTTTTTTATTATTTTAAAATCAGCACACAGTGTGAGCTCACTTTTTCACTTATTGATGTTCACTTATTAATCTCAGTGTTACTGAGCCCTGCTAAAGTCTGAGTAGACTGATAAATCAATGTGATGATCAGTTATTAATCTCAGTGTTACTGAACTCTGCTAAAACCTGAGTAGACTGATAAATCAATAATGATCAGTTATTAATCTCAGTGTTACTGAGCCCTGCTAAAGTCTGAGTAGACTGATAAATCAATGTGATGATCAGTTATTAATCTCAGTGTTACTGAACTCTGCTAAAACCTGAGTAGACTGATAAATCAATAATGATCAGTTATTAATCTCAGTGTTACTGAGCTCTGCTAAAGCCTGAGTAGACTGATAAATCAATGTGATGATCAGTTATTAATCTCAGTGTTACTGAGCTCTGTTAAAGCCTGAGTAGACTGATAAATCAATGTGATGATCAGTTATTAATCTCAGTGTTACTGAGCTCTGCTAAAGCCTGAGTAGACTGATAAATCAATGTGATGATCAGTTATTAATCTCAGTGTTACTGAGCTCTGCTAAAGTCTGAGTAGACTGATAAATCAATGTGATGATCAGTTATTAATCTCAGTGTTACTGAACTCTGTTAAGCCTGAGTAGACTGATAAATCAATGTGATGATCAGTTATTAATCTCAGTGTTACTGAGCTCTGCTAAAGCCTGAGTAGACTGATAAATCAATGTGATCAGTTATTAATCTCAGTGTTACTGAGCTCTGCTAAAGCCTGAGTAGACTGATAAATCAATGTGATCAGTTATTAATCTCAGTGTTACTGAGCTCTGCTAAAGCCTGAGTAGACTGATAAATCAATGTGATCAGTTATTAATCTCAGTGACACTGAGCTCTGCTGAAGCCTCCTCAGCAGTGGACATGTTTGCAAGTGATATGCTTAGCAGTGGTGTTGTACTGGACTGATGGGAACTGCTGGAGCAGCAGTGGGCTGATGTGGGCAGTAAGAGAGAAAGAACATCCTGAGAATATTTAGAACTTCATTTAAACGATAAGCTAATTTTTCATGAAACATATGAAACATACTTTTTACATGTGCCTTACCAAGATGTTCTCAATGATGTTCTAGCCCCATCTGGTTTAGAACTCAATGACATCATTTACTTTTCTAGCTTAGAACCTAATGACATCACAGGCTGTTCTGGCTTCAAACTCAGTGACGTCACAGACTCTTCTGTCTTTGACCTTAATGATATTACAGATTGTTCAGGCTTTGAACTAATTGATCTCATGGACTCTTTTGGCTTAGAACTCAATGACATCATTTACTTTTCTGGCTTAGAACTTAATGACATCACAGACTGTTCTGGCTTCAAACTCAGCGATGTCAAAGACTCTTCTGTCTTTGACCTTAATGAAATTACAGATGGTTCAGGCTTTGAATTAAGTGATGCCATGGACTCTTCTGGCTTAGGACTCAATGACGTTCTAGCCCTGTGTGGTCTAGTACTCAATGGAATCACAGACAGCGTCTTTGTTATTCTTCATCATTCACGGTGTGTTAAAGGGTCAAAATAGAAATGCTCAAGTGTTAACATTAAGATGATTTTACAGTATTGCTTAGTGACAGAATGAGATGTGGGAAAAGCTTTCTTTTCAGATGGTATAAAACTGCGACTTGGGGATGTACTGTGCTGCTCATTAATGTCAGGAGGATGATGTGTTTATCATTACATCTATAATGGCTGTAACTAGTCTCCAAGATATGACCTTACCGTTTGGTGGAGGTTTGATGTCCGAGTCTGCCTGCTGGCTGGAACTGTCTGATTGTCCTGATT